TTTCCAGAATGATCACGATTTTTGGGAAAGGCCTGTACTATCCATTACTAAAGATATATCTAAAGATCACCTAATGTATTCTTAGATGCCATTATATACATCCCGGGCTAGCGCGATGACATACATGGCTGTTTTCGGGTGAACACATCGGGCTTTTGCAACCAGCAGTTTGTTTGATATTGGTCAGGCAGTTAGACATTTGTAAAATGTTGTTACTGTAATCAGGTGTTGTGTATTTTTGAGTGGCTACATTGATGTCCTGACAAGTTTGAAAGCCACTGATGAACTACAGCTGCAATTCGCAAAGCATGGCAAACAGGTTCATCTCTGTGATGAGAACAGCTTCATGCGCAGTCCATCAGCCCGGCTCGCTGCGAGTGATGCTCCAAAACGGCTTTGCAACCGAGTGTACTAGTAGGAGATAGGATAAGCATGGATAAGCTTCACACAAAAGATCAAAGACTTCTGTTGGGGTATAGGCCATCTAGATGGCCTTATTCCCACATCCATCCACACCCCAAAGGAATCACCAATCACCGCACTATCTCAGTTTACGGGGATCCGGACATCCGGGGGGTGGGGGGTTTCTACCCAGACGCTCCAAATAGGCCGACCGGTCCCTCAAAACCAATGTTTTTTTTGTTTTTTTCTTCGGTCCGAGTGAGGACCCCTCCTTATGAGGGTACGGCCCCTACTGAACGGAGGGTCCAGGGGTCGCGTTTGGGTGCACAAACTGTCAAAAGAACGATGGTTTGTTCGGGTGAACGATTCATGGACGGTGCCGTTTTCGCCAACAGGGACGAGTTCATCTTAGTGGACCCAGTGGGGCAGCTGAGGATGGATGGGCATGGGATGGAGCTGGGAAAGGAAAGCCTTCAAGACATTGGTTTGGGCAAGGGGCACTGAAACGCGGCCTGGGGTGTGGTTCTTTTCCTCCAAAAGCGCCAGAAGGAGTTTCTTCAGGCGTTTTCAGGTATGAGTGGAGATGGTTGTTGATTCTTGCACGCCATCAAGCAAAGACCCCTTTGTACCTTCTCCATGCCTGAATCTCCGACCCTCGTTTGTTGTGACTGCTTCCGGGAATCTTGACGCTTGTGTCGCACAGTCTCAGCAGCCTTCGCCCACCTCGGATCCCAAAAGGCTTTGAACGGCGACTGGCCCCATGCGAAATGACAGGAACCACAACATCATCATCATTTGACGTCCAGTGACCCGAATTGAGCCTGAGAGATTCTTATGGAAGCTGAAAAACCCCTTTTGTCAAAGTGAGGCCAAGTGGTCAAACCCCACGAGAATGTCCCAGAAAGTTTCTAGGACGTTTGAGGGACCCAGGCAGCTTGCAGGTCATAAAATACGTGCGGCCATTTGTATATTGGGGAGAAGCATGGAAAAGGGGTCATGGCTATAACATCTCTAGCGGTTGGGCATTCTCACCGCCACAGCCGTTCACCCTTTTCGTGACGAGCCCCGTTCGGGCTTGACAGCTGCGGACCTCAGGTTTTGCTGAAGACCGGTGACCTGGATCTGTCGCAGCTCCTAGAGATGGCCACGCGGCTCGGCGGAAACCGGTGACCGGGAGCGACCGGTGACCCGTCACTTCAAGTGACGAAACATACCCAGAGCATGCCAGAATTCTATCCCAGAAGATTGATTATGTTTTGACTATATATATATACTGTAGTATAGTCAGCATTATTAGTCATAGATTATAAATAGATTGTAAAGTCAGTTTTCATGGGTGCTTAGAGGCCCAAGAACTTGCCTGGACCTTCTTGTGGTGGAAAGTGAACGCGTCCAACACCGTTCACCGGAGCCGTCGCCCAGGAGTTCTGAAGTGCCGTCGCGCAACAAGAAGAGGAGCGACCCTGTGGAGGGTGGATCGGTCAAAAGGGGTTCCAAAGAGCTATTTTTGGGGTTGCTAAGGCTAAGGCTTAATGGGTGAGGTTTTCTTCTACTAAGTTACTAGGTGCTTCATGTTTTTGAGATATTCATGGGACAAACAGCGGAAGATTCTGGGGCTAAAGACATGTGCACCTGATGTTCTTGTGGGTTGTGTGGTTTTCACTCGTTTCGGGAAAGTCGTTCGGGTCAAATTCCGTTGGATGTGCGGCGGTCGGAAATGTTCACTTGGGTAACCTCACCAAAGGCTTAGGAGGAGACATTGTATTGGACCCTTGGATTTGATTATATATAATATTATATTCACGTAGTAGTCTGTTTGCTCGTGTGCATGTTCCCTGCATATGGGCGGTCTGGGCAGAAACCCACCTCCGGTCCAGCGTGCTGGCGTCGTTTCATCCCCTTCAAGAGGATCGATGCTCCAAGGCCGGTCACCCCCTCGACGACGCTTCGGCCGGATGGCGAGGTTCGACCAATGGCATCCCCGTTGTGCCCAGCCGGGGTGCTGAGAGGGTCCGACCCGTTGGAGTGGGAAGGGTCGGACCAGTCTGCGAAGTGTCCGGGCTGAGTAAAGTGACTTGGAGGGAGAAGATGAAAAAAAAGCAGACACTGAAGATGCTGCTTCGTTTGTGATGGAAGCTGCTTCCAAGAAAAGATCCGTGTTTCCACACTTCCTGTGGAAACACTTATGATGGCCTTGAAGTTGGATCGCACATATCCCAATCTTCATGAAAACAAACACCTCCTTTGACACCATGAACTTCACGAGAAGCACATCTTGGCACCGATAACTCCACTCTTCCATGAGTGGAGTCATTAAAGACAGTATATTGACATATATACTATATACTGATATACTGTATATGAAATGTTAGATTTAATATGTTTTAAAGTAATTACATTGTTTGACCCCGAGGATGCTTTGAATCTGAACCTCTTCCATGACGCGGACAACGCCAAACGCCAAGGCTTTGCCGTAGCTTCGACCCACAGCGCCGGAGCGGACACGCCAGGCGTGGGCCAAGCGACGCGCGGCTGGGAAGGGAGTGGAGCCGAAGTCCGAGCGCATAGCCAGAGCGAAAATCCGTGGATGAGCTGGAGGGCCCCAATGATTTTGTGATCTTTTGTGCTTCAGAAGTTCTTCTTAAGGGAAATAATAGCTAGTAGTAACAAGTGCATCGCTAGTAGTAACAGGTGCCTTACTAGTAGTAACAAGAAGCTAAGTGTTTGGCCTTGACCTTGGCACTCTTCCCACCTTGACGCGCCAGGAGAGCGTGCGGAGTCCGTGGGCCCGGCGAGTTTGGGTGAAAACACGCGGGGCAGGTGCTCGGTGTGGGTTCGATCAAGGCAAGAAAGAAAGAATGGCACCAACCCGCAACAGTTGGTCTTCTAAGTCCCTTTTTCTTCATGTGTTGTTTCTTTTTGCCATGCCATCTCTGATCTCTGAACTGGTGGAGTGGTGGATCTCCAATGATTCTGCAATGGAGGGGCATGAAAAGCAGATGATTCACCAGCCAAGTCCGTGTTGTCCTTTCTATTTGAGGCACTGACATGGCGAAGCGCCCAGTAGAGTAGACTGGACACAATTCCAGTTTGGACATGTTCCATCGAATTCCAGATAATTCCGCCGCCAGTTCAAACTATAGAGATTGAGTTTTGCCTGTTCGGCCTGATGGCAACACTCCCAGGCTGTGTGTTTTCTTGATGAAACTGAGATCTTACAAATTCTTATGCGATCCTTTGCTTCTTCTTTTTCTTCTTCTTTTTCTTCTTCTTCTTGATGTTTCTTGCAGTTTTTGGTTTTGCTCATCTCATAGTTTGCAGAAATAGGGTTTGTGGTTATGACCCGCGCTTGTACAATCTTACAACCAGCGCCCACTTGATTCACATGAGCTACCTGCTGCATATCCCTTCCACTGTGCGCATTCCCTCCACGCTGCGCCACGTCAGCCTTGCCCAACTGCGGTGTGGGGGGCGGCTAGCTGAGAGCGAGCAACGGGGCGAGCACCGGTTTCCTGAACAGGCTCTCCAAGCTGCCAGAAGGCGGTGTTTGATGGGCTCAGAGTGGTTCTCGAACTTTGGTACCCTATGAATCCCTACGAATCAAGCGTTGAGACCTGCACTGCCTCAGGATGCTTGGGCCCAGTGACTTTGAGCCACCTGACCCTGTGAAGATGGTTACTGATAGAATCAGCTTGCTGATATCCAAGCAAACGGATTCTGCAAGCTCAATCGGTGCATCAAGTTGTGTTGTTTGGGGTCTCGCAGAGGGGAGGATACATAAAGACTTCAAGGCAGGGTCCACAAATCCAGGAAAAGTCATGCCAAACAAAAGGTCCCCGAGTCATTGGCAGCGTGTTCCAACTTCTGGCGAGCCTTCTTCAAGGCAAAGCTGGGGTGCCTCGACCTTGCTTGATTTTGCTTATGCTTCTTTCCTGACTTAAGAGAGTCAGAGTAGCAAATGCCGAATGCCTCTTTGAATTCAGCTCCTCGAAAGGTGGAGGAAATTCAAGACACTCTTTCGCCACGCAAGGCGCATGGCCTGTGCCGGCAACACAGTTGGCAGAAAATGGCGCGGTCACGACATGGTCTTGGAGCACAGGTGTTGGTGACGAGCAAGCCCTCGTTTGACGGGAAGGCCTGTAGCCAACTGGTGATTTCACATGATTCACATTTGAGATTGCTGCTGCAATTGCAAAGTTATGAGAACGGGAGGCAAGGCCCAAACAGGAATTTGTCTTTGTTGAGAGCTAAGTGTGCCAAAGCCCAAGGGCCCTCGAGCAATCAATTGGCGAGAGGAAAAGGTGGTGCGGAGTGCAAGGTGACCACCCAGAACCGGTCCATCGATGATGTTCCTGGGGTGGATGACTGGCCTTGAGCAAACTGTCTCTAAAAATATAAACCTTAGGCGCAGAACCAGAAGCAGAACGCCCTTTCCTTTGCCTCAGCCAGAAAGGCTTGCTGTAAGGACACCAGCTTCAGAATATGAAAGCAAGGCCTTGCTGTGTCGAGGCTCTACCGCCGCGTCCTTTGAAGGGTCACTTGACCCAGCTGCTCCACCGCAGCCCAGCTGCTCGACCCGTCCGTCGCATATATTCGCCATGCCAAGGATGGAGCCCTTAGAGGCCTGGTGTTCGCCGAAGTGGAAGTGGAACATGGCAACGATGGATGGGCTCTCTTTTTTCCTCTCTCCAGAAGTGGAGCCCTTGGAGTTTCTCTCCCTCTCTCACTCTCACTCTCCTTAAAAACATGGCAAGACCTTGGTCCTTTTTGATTGAAACATCGGCAGTTGGCGCGATTGCTCAAGGAGGAGACCTGTGGGGTTATGGGTCCCTGGCGTCCTCCGCTCCTCAGAGTGCTGGAATCTCTGAATCACACACTCTCCCTCCCTCCCTTCCTTCTTTTCCTTGTTCAATTTGTTCTTGTTTGTTTGTTGGATGGCCGGCTTGATTGATGAGGTCTACCTGCTCTTTCAGGTGCGCTTCACATATTCCCCTTTGCTAAGAACAGGGCGTGTTGTCACTAGAGCCACTCATATGGAATTGTAAAAGCGGATGCACTAAAATTTACTTGTTCCTTTCCTTTCCTTCATTGAACCACTACTTGCTTGTACGTGCTTTTTGGGCAATCTTCATGCTGTGGGTGGGGTTCAAGTGGAGTGAAGAATGCTAGCAGTTGATAGTTTTGGGTAGTTTAGTGTTGGTACAGTTTTGGGAAGGTTGTAGTAATTTATTTGTAGTAGTCGTGGGGCGTGTGCTTTGTGGGAGTGGTGCAACACAATTGAAAAAATGCAAGCAAACATTGTACTGCAGTTTGGCCTCCAAGTTTTTCATTATGGTTTTTGGTTTCAAAGATGTGAGTATTTCTGCAGTGTGTTATGATAGTGTCAAGGTGTTGGTAGTTTGCAGTGATTTGGAGAATCGTTTTTCTTTGATGATTAGCACCACCCAGTGTTCATGAGTAGCCCTCACATGATTACCTTGAGCCTCCAAGAGTCTCCAAAGACCTCTTTTTATGCGTGTGTGTTTTTTTTGGTCTTATGTTTTGCGTTTGAATCTTCATCCGGACGCATCCGGTGCGGACGCTGAAAGACGCCTTTTGGATGCAAAAAGATGCGCTTTGGACGCCGAAAAAAGGTCTCAGGACACTGTCTAAGGAGGATCTGACAGGGCACAAACAAAAAAGGACCATTTCGTGACATATGCAAAAAAGAGTGCTTTCTTTCTCTCTTTTTCTTGGAAAGGCAAATTTAAAAGGGTCATTGGAGACTCAAGGTAGACAGCCCGCACCTGGGTCATTCATGACTTCCTCGCAGCTAGCACGCCGTTCGTCGGCCAGGTGCAGGAATCGGAGGATGTAATGGCCCGGAAGCGGAAGAGTCGGCAGTCCAGCATCTTTCAGTCGGCCAGTTTGGCCACTGTCACGCCGCAGAAAGGAGCTGCTGCCGTTCGCAACACCGGGTGGGGGTTCAAGTTCTTTGAATGAAAGGTTGACTACTTGGGCGAGAATCGTCGAATTCGAGTTGAAACTGGTGTGGATTGGACTCATGGTTGCTGGTGGGTGCTTTCTTCGTCGTTTTGTTAGGAAATCCCACTGATTGAGAACGTGATTGAATCTATAATATATATATATGGAAAGTTAATTGGGTTGACTTGTTTGTGATCGGAAATTGTCCAGTCAAAAACATTCTGAGTTTTTGCCCTGGTATGAACCAACAAAACGACTGCAAAATGCCTAAATAACATGTGTTTTGGAAACAGTGAAGAAGAGTCCACAACATACAGTCTAAACGAAAGGCGTGGCAAAACTCGAGAACTTCGCACCAACTCAGGAGGCGGGCTGTCGGTGAAACAAGCGTGCATGGTGAGCGTCAACTCGGGTTTGGGCTCCTCCATGGCTTTCTTTGGGTGGCTCAGCTATGCAGGGAAATGGATGAACTGCCACTATTGACTACTGCAGTTGCTAGTCACTGCTAGATCAGTACTACAGGGCCTTTTCAACCATGTTTGCTCCATTGAAATTTGTCCGGCCTTCCTTCGATCTCTTTTGTAGGCATTTTAGCTGTGCAAAAGTATCACGGCAGATGGGACATGGATCAAGTGTTCCAATAGAAGGTGTTTTCTTCAAGTATTGCCAATAGTGGTCTTAAAAGAAAAAGAAAAAACAAAACGACCCGAAGGGCCGGCCCGGATATCGGCCCGAAGCACAGGCTGGAGGGCCGGTTCGCCCAGCGGCTCTTGGCACACTCAGGTGGTATCCCTCCCAGGCCGGCATCCTTGGCTTCATTTTGGTGACTGCTGTGGCACTAGTGACTGCGATTCTCGAGCAGCAAGCCCTCTTGCGTGCAAGCATTGAACGGGATGCCAATAACTTCGACGCTTGGGTTGATAAAAGAGGGACACAAACACCAAAGCACCGGAGGTCTTGAGACAACAACGAAATACAGATCGTACTATATAGTTATGCAGCGCATGATGCGGTTGAATTGAATAATTATTTTTTTGAGATTTATGTTGAGATTGGGCTTGGATATGTAGATAATGTTGTTCTGAACATTTGTTCTTTGCTACGCGGGCTTTCTGGAGGTGGTTTCCCGTCCGGGGCCGCGTTTCGAATTGTTTCAATAGCCGAATCAGTGGCCTTTCATGGCCTTTCACGTTGCGGCACCCTTTTAAGGCTCCTGTGAGGCGACCGTCCCTTTCCGAAGTGACTTCTCCTCAGAACTCGAGACTGGAATGCCAAAGATCGACGTAGGTCACCATATTTGGCGGCCAAGAGTCTGCTGCGTAGCTAGATGTTTTGCCTAGCTAGAAGTGCCAGTTAGAGCCAAGCTGCCATTGAAATTGATTGATGATGAGTTTGGGACTATTATTGGACCATAGAGGTCATGAAATTGAGGCCCTCCAAGATCTTAAAATGTTCGTCTTTGGATCGGAGAGAAGAGGTCGGAGATCACACGCCCACATCGTACGCTTTTGCCCTCCAAGGAAGATCTTTGTCAGCCGTTGCCGGCGTGCCTTGACTGAAGCTGAGCAGAACGCTCGGCTCTGTGCTGAGCAGAAAACTTGTCCAAGCGAGGTGGGCTCGGAAGACCACGGTCTACGGCGGTCTGGTCTACCTGTGGAGCTGCGGTGCCTACTACTGCTACTTCGTGGAAGCCTTCCTCCACGATCAAGTGATTTGGAAGAGGTGGAACCAGTTCGGGCAGTCAAAGAGAACCCCAGCATATTTACGTACAATTGGGGTGGTTTCAGGGGTCAGTGTAGGTAAATGATACATTCTTGGCGAGCCCCCTTTTTGTCCGTTTGGGCTGTATTCGTTGCTCTTTGTCACCTGTGCATGAGGGGTTTCTGTGTATGGATGGACCTGAGATGACCTGAGTGTCTACCATACCGTCGACGCAGACCGTCCAACGAGCGAGGTATGTAAATTATGTATCGTAAGTTGGCAGCAGTTAGAATATGGACTAATTCAGATTTTCGGAATTAGTCATATACTGCACCTGGTTCTTCAAAGTGACCTTTTGTCCCTCAGGGGCCCTCCAAACCCTGGGACTGCTTCGGTTGCCGAGGTGTGTCCTCGACTGGGCTCGCCCCAGGACGCCTGGTCCGCGTGGCTCCTGTGCTCGACGCGTGGCTCCGGGGCGAGCGGCATGGGACAAGAGAGGAGTGGGGGGTGGACCAAAGAATGGCTTGAAGTGAAAGGCCTTTGTGGGAACGAACGTGTGGGACGGGGTGCTGACATGTGCGGACGAGATTGAAGTGGGCCTAACCCTGACGAGCTGGTGCACAGGGTTCATAGAAACTGTTGCTACTTCAAGGTGATTGGCACTACGGGTTCCCAAGGGGGTTCTAGTCATTGGTTCTCAAACTAATGTCATTCATGTTCATGCCCTTGAAGTTCATCATCTCGAGAACCCCTGGCAATGGAACATCCAGTTACAATGAAGTCCATGACCCTTTGCCTTGGACTCAGTTTTGTGTTCAGCGATTTTGGTGGATTCAGTGCATCCCAAGTCATTCCTTGGACGGGACAAACCACAGGGATTCTAGATACAAACAAAAATAAGAGGAAGAAAAAGGAGAAGAGGAATAAGATGCACATGGTACACATCTCTATATCTATGTATGACATTTCCTAAACAGGCCCTTTAATCTTACACATACGTAGATCTTCCAACTATGCAACATGTTGCCTTTGGGTTGGTTTTAATTACAAATGAAAAGGATTGAACATGCAGACATGTTGCATAGTTGGAAGGTCTAGCTATTCATTTCGTTCTGTATAGGCATATCAACCCATGGCTGCACAAGTGACACATCCTAACTCCAAAACCACTTGTGCCACTTGTGCTTGTCTACCAATCGACAGGAAAGCTGCCCCCCATCCGCCGGGCGTCCGCGGCATCCGCGCTTGGGGTTTGCCCAGGAACCCCTATTTCACAGCCGTGCCGGTCTTCATCATGGTCTTCTTGGAATCTTATCCCGCCGAACTCTCCGGCTTTGCCTCATGGCAAGGAAGGCATGTGACATGGGGATACATGAGGTTCCTGGGGCTGATTGGTTGGAAAGCACAACTCCGCCGGGCAGGTCTTTGGTACTATCCATCAAATTCTCCTCATGCCTTGATTCACTTCATTTGCATATACGAAGACACCACAACCAACTCATCAAACTCATTGTGCAAGCCCACCACCAACACTGGTCTCAAAAGCCAAAGGTACCGACATTTGTGATACCATATCAATCCATATCTACAGCTTTGCCGCCAAACACGAGCACTCATGACCCTACATGCACTCATGGTGTTCGCGTCAAGCCGAGCTACCCAACTGCCAAGCCACGCGTGTCTTGTTTGGTAGTTGGACACTCCGTTTTGTTTGGTCAGCTCTCCAGACCAGGTGTCTTTAGTGATCAACTACACCAACATGATCACCAAAGTTGTGGTCGGTTTCACAGCGCTCATCAAGGGTCTCAGTACCTGGGCAGACCTCACCGAGCCAGAAACCTATGAAGTCTGGAATGTGGGAGGCAGGGGGCAGGAACCGATGTTATCTACAAGACTCAGGCTGAAACAACACACATGGACTGTGCGTTGTATACACCAGCTGTACTTCTAGAGGAAACTCGCGCGGAATCGTTCGAAATCATGGGCTCACCTCGGACCGTTCGGTATTTGGTCTAAGAGTCGCAGGCAGCAAAAACCAGGTTCCTTTGGACGGTCCGCTCGGCTCGCTTCGCCGAAGAGCTGAAGAGCCACTCGATGAACGGATCGGTTTTGGCCAATGGGGTCATGTTTACTTTGTATGCTTAAGTGTGCTGTCCCAATATGTTTTTAACAGGGAGATGGCAGGCACAAAACTGGATGAATATTCCGTAAGCATTTTCGGCCCTTGGCCAGTCACCAAGTCCCGTTTCTTACCTTGTCCAACGTATTTTCGAGCCCCACTCTCGTCAGAGAAGCCATACTATATAGACAATACACCCACACATCTTGCAGCGCCAGTTTCGCAGGCTTCCTCACGGTCTTCAGCATGCTCATGGGCTCATTCGCGAATACTGGGATTATGCCGCAGATTGCCACGGATGTGGATCACAGCGTCCGGGATCGTGCCATGGTCCTTTGCCCCATCATCGCTGTTAGTGCACAGGCACCGTTCGGCGAAGCAATCGCTGCGCCATGCCGGTCGCTCAAAGCTTAGTTGGTCAGACTATGTTAGACTGTTGATCAATAAACTAACCGCCCCCCCATGATCCGCATGCGGAGGTAAAACATTGCAAAACAATTTGTCTACTGTCAGGGTGGTTTATTATATGGTTTATTCATCAACGTTCTACATTTATTGAATTTGGTTCAATTCCCCGACTCCTGTAAGTTTAAATATGTAAACTTCATGTTTCACAATGTTTCATACTTTGGTGGGTCAAATCATGTGGCTGTTTCGCCAGTTTTTGTCACTTGCTGGGGGTGGGAGCTCGACAGGCCTCCATCGCTGTGTCTCGGCACGCAGGGGGAAGTGGAATATTGTGCCTACAATTTAAAGGCAAAACCATAGAGATGTCTTAGCTTTCCTGTGAGTTTGTTTCATCAGTGGTTGAGGACTTCGATTGATGTCAAGTAGCTTTAGCTGCTCGTAACTGAGAAAGGCCTTGGCCAATCTCCTTTCAGAGAATAATTGCTGAATTGGTGCATTTTCTCTCAAGGTAACGATGGGACTTTGCGGCTACGCGGGTTTGGGGCAAAGCGTCCAATTGGACAACTTCGCTGTGTGCCTCGTCGTCGAACGCTCGGAACGATCGACGTGTCGGTCGGTGGGGATGAGATGGGAACGGAATGGGAGGATGTTGCTGGAACACTCGTCTATTTGGTGCGGAACTTGCAGACTGAAGAGTTGTCACGGGGGGCCCAGGCATTGCAGTTTGGCTGACCGCTTGCTGCTCCTTCTGTACGCTTCATGAGGGCTATTTAGAGAGCCTAGGTGCTAGGCGCACCGTTTCCATGTTCCATGTTGGGTGGCATGCAGAGGTTCGCAATGACCTTCCAGAAAAGGGACTCTGAAGGTTCTAAAGAAAGAAGTTGATGGCTCATTGCAAGCTTCCCACAGCAAAGAGGTCGCTTTGTCATGGCTTCCCAATCCGCCTAATAAGACCCGTGGGTCACTTCAGAATCCAGCATAGGTCTGCCAGTCGGGACTTCCCCTTTCGTTCAGGTATGCCGAGAAGCACAATGACTTCAAAACGACAATTTTGCAGCTCCTCAGATGCATGGTGATGCATGGTGTTTTTGTGTGCATTCTCGACATGAAGAACGGAGCCCGGAAAGGACATCTCAGAAGTGGCTGGCTTGTTGCACAGGCCTCAGATCGTTTCCAAGATGGTCATGGGATACATTCGGATCAATTCGTACTTAGGGCCTCAGCCGCGTAGCCGCCCACCGCCACACTGAGACCACCCCTCGGGCCCTCGGTGGAGCATCCCAACTTAACATAACTTAATAGGTAAAAGAAGCTGAGGTTTGGTATTGCTTTGCTGTGCTTTTTGTCGATGCCATTGCTGTTTCTTCCCGTGAAGTCGCAAATCTGGGGCTTCTTCTCACCAGAAGGACGCTTGGCAACAAGAGCGTCAACGTTTTGTTTCCGATCGGCGAATGTTGGGACAAGAGACCTTTCATAACTTTCTTTGAAACGCTAGCCTCCAACCTCATAGCCCCCTCCAACCTAATAGTGGAGATGGGAGTGGACTATTTGCTAGAGTGCTAGGCGCCGTCCGCAACCAGTCCATCAATTCCCATGGCCTTTGCCGTTTCGTTGTGTGGGTCCATCATGGTACATCTATTGGGCCAACTTGGGCTTTTATTGAGCCAAACGAAAAGTGGAGTGGCTTCCACACAACAGAACACGCTTTCGATTGCATTAGCTATGTGAGACGGAGGGTCACGTCTTCGGCTGCGCACGGCTGCACGGGTGATGTGTGAAGCGGACGCACGACCAGTCGTCACTGACCAGCCTGACCAGTGACAGGTGACAGAGGGTATGAAGCTTTACCACCCAATCCAGGTGGGCAATCAATCACATTGATGAGCAAGGGCCAAACCATCCTATGAATAAAAAGAGCTTTAGAGGTGACCCATTGGGCATTGCGGTGGCCTATGCCACGGAGCTTAGCAGAACCCTGAAGAGCGATACCTGTTCCAGGAATAGGCCCATGATATTTTGACATGTTTTGGAACAACACGGGTCTTAGAGCGGTACCCAAACCGATACCAAACGATACCTGGAGCAAAACCTCAGAAGTCCAGTCCTCCCCACCTCCCCATGTGTAGAGCCACAGCTCACTAACGCTACTAGTGTTTCCTCATGCCACGTAGCAGAGAGCTTTGATTGGGACTGTGGAGCAATAGCGAAGTTTGAAGAGTGATACCATGGCAGCAGAATGGCTGGCATGTTTTGGCCGCGGCACATATCATTCTTGTATACACCATACTGAAAGCACGTATATATATATATATATACATACTGTAAGTAGTATTATATTAGGACTATTTATGACTTGCTGACCTGTGCTCCTAGAAATTTTCCTACAGGGTCATGTCGCTTGCTTCCCTTGTATCCTTCGCAGGGAAGGAGGACCCCTTTTTTGAACTCACCCAAATGAAAGCAGAGCCGTCTCCAACCAACGTAGATGGAAAAAACAACTATTGGGCCGAACTTCACTGCAATGATGAGTGCATGTTTAAGATTGTTTGGGCAATCATTTATATAATGATTTCATAGTTTAATGCACAATGGCTTATATAATACATGCCTTCCCGTGTTTTTGCCACATGTGATCTTTGGAAAGCCTTTCTTTTGACCTCTACAGCTGATGAAACCAACTCAAGCCGCTCCCCAGGAAAGCCCTTGACAGAGGCTCCATTCAAATGGCAGCTCAGCGCTACCATGGCCTTGACCTTCTCCGCCTCCTACGTTCCTGTGGCCTTGGCGAGAACCGGTCAGAGCCAAAAGGTGACATCATTGGGAATGACTTCCGGAGAGTGGTGACTGAGTAGTACAAAGGATGGACGTTGTTTGGCGGTTGAAAGAAGTACGGGAAACATGTGGGAACAAATGAACAATGAACGGCTTTACTTTTTGCTCCCTTTGGGGGCCCAAGACATTTGTACTGGGAACCTTTTGGTTGATCCAATTGGAGGCTGCTGACGGCCAGCTTTGTTTTGGTTCTGCAAGGATGTCAACGTTGCTTTGACTCAATGAAAGGGCGGCTTGCCCTGTGAGCATATATTCCACAGTACACCATGGTTTCAGATTGTCACCTTCAAATTTGAAGAGCTAACTTACACACTAGTCGCCCACACCAATATGACTGGCATAACCCCGTGGAAGAGTTCACAGTCACATCAACCTGCAACCCCTTCTCGAAAAGGGCCATGTTTGGAAGGCGGGTCACGGCACCCACCCTCCCCGCATGAACGCCATACCGAGCCGGTGGGGAAACTCAGGTGGTGATGGGGTCTGACGCCATGAATGTGTTCTTGACCGTCCTGAGCTGTACCGTTGGTGTGCCCCGGCCACGCGCGCCCCATCGATCTCGATGGGCCGTGCGATCCGGGCGGAAGCCACGAGCGAAACGCACAGTGGCATCCCGGGAAGGAACAGACATGCTGACTCTTGATGGAAGACATGCTGCACCACCTGGAACGGGTCTCAAAACGATCAAAGGGTATCAAAGGGAGGTCTGCTTGGTGGCGATGGATGTGTTTCCTGAAAAACGATCCTCCCGCCTTTTCCCAGAACCCTCGAGAAGCAGCTGTAGGCTGTTGCCCCACTTATTTCCTTACTTAGGAATAGGGCACCAGTGGTGTCTAGTTGCCGGGATCACTTTGTCACATTTTGAGCAAATGTTTGGGTTTCTTCAGCCTGCCCTGGCCTGAAGATGTACTAAATTCACTTGTCCTTCGAGCATTTAGGCATCAGATAGCAGAGAAGGACCTTGCGCTGAGGTGTGTTTCCACTTTGATTCTTGGGATTGACATTCCCTAATCTTTAATATCATTGGTGGCAACTCCCTCCCTAAAGTTGACATGGCTATTCCTGGAATGCCGTTGGACGCTCCTGCACTTCTCTCACCATGAGAAACATCACTCCACCACCCAATGCTGCCTCACCTCTGCCCATTCCCATTCGACTTCGACGTCTACGACCGACTCGCCAGTTTCAGTCCATCGTGTCCAACGTAACCATCGGGTCGTATCTCGCAACGTGTCCAACGACTAAGATCGTCAGCGCGGGTGCTGGTTGTGTGTAAAGCTTTCGATGAGGTTTCTGCTGAACATCAGGGGCCCTTCATTTTGGGCTGAGCAGCATTTTCGCTCCCAACCTCTCAGAAAAGCTCATTTTCCTGCCCATTTTTGCAACATCCTTCAATGCCTCAGCAGCCAGTAGCTGAAATGAGTTTCATGGGGGGCGTACGTTGATCTCCCCCGCGTTTTTGGCACCTCCAGGATGTTGAACATGAATTACAGGACACATTCAAATTCACACAATATGTTTATTGTATGTTTTCAGCATCGCCATCAATACTTTCCGTGGTTGTTTGGTTGACATATCTTGGTCCCCCAAAAATAGCGGTATTCTCGTCACGTTCCCCCAAAGCGTTTGCACATTGACCGAACCGCGAGGTGTGGATGAATTTGTTGCTCCCAGCCCTGGTGATGATCTACTGCAAGATCTTGCCGGACCGCCGGAGCGGTCAGAAGATCGGCAGCTCAGTCCTGGTGGCGACTTGGAGCCTTGGCCCGCGCCCGAACCGCCCTGAAGCGACGTTTTGGGGCACCAAAAGGCGACGTGTGGAGTGTTTGGGTCCTTTTGGATGAGAACAAACGCCCAAAACAGGCACACACGCAACTAGCGACAAGGATCACCAGAAAACAGAGCTCAGCGGGAAAGACCCAAACGAGCATGGAGGTGGCTTCGTTTTCGCACTGGAAAGTTGCATCAGGATAAAAGAAGAGAACCGTATCAAAAAAAACAGGATCAAGAAAGAGCAGTATCAACAAAAACTGACTATGTCCCCTGGTCCTTAGGTCTCCTGGTCCTTTGGTCCGCTGGTCCTCTGGTTTGCTGCTGCCTTCGGTCTCCTGGTCCGCTGGTCTCTTGCTCCGCTGGTCCCTTGGTCCTTCGGTCTCTTGGTCCAGTGCGCACCTATATAGACCTAGTCGCTTGGTCTCCTAGTCCGCTGGTCTTATGGTCCTTCAGCCTTGGTAGCTCCCTAGTAGAGAGATAGCTTCCCAGTGGGGTGCTAGCTCGCTAGGTATTTCCCAGTAGCGGGATAGCGCTGTCTAATATACTTGATTTGCATTGCGGGAGGCGCTGCGCCCTCCCTGCACCCCCTCCCGCTTTTTTAATAGTTGCCACTACCCCGCTAATACCAGTACCTCCAACACCCCGACCCCACTACCAGTCTTACCACAGGTACCACAACTACCATCTTCTTTGCATTGACACTGCCACAAAGGTAGGTAATAACGCCCACCTTCGCTTAGCGTGACAGCCATAAATCTTCGCTTAGTAGGAAGCGCTGTGCCCTACCCTAGTACTTCTAGTACTTCTTCTACTACTACTACTACGACGACTACTACTACTACTACGACTACTACGACTACTACTACTACTACTACTACTACTGTCCTTTCCCCATTGTTTTTTGATCCTTCTTGAATATTGTTTGATGCTCATCTTTTTCAATCCCTCACCGCTGGATGCATAGGTTCGCAGCATACAGCTGCCTGTACGGACATGACATGTTAATGCATTCCTTCCGGAGCCAGCTGACAAGAACCACCCAAACTGCTGAATTCCAAACTGACCTCTTTCAGCCCCTCACCGGCACACATCTCTCGCTGGCCTGAGGGTACTCTTCCTGGGCATTTTGGGGTTGATCGACGGTGGGCGACAACTCCTTCCCAAGTCACTCTTCGAGGGCGGAAAGACAACGGCCTTGGTCTTCTGAGGCGTTCAGCAAGCCTAAGGCCCAAGAGTGGCCGTTATTGATTCCGTGGTTTTTGGCAGAAACGGATCCTTGTTTGGAGCTGCCACAGGTGCAGACTAGAGCTGCTCAGCCAAAGGTCTTTACCGGTAATTATTAGAGTTGCGGGGGTCGATCAGGGAGCATTCCGTTGAGCCAAGACATGCTGCGCTCCATGACTGCGAAGTCGTGGCCCCGTTTCGTGACACTGTTCATCTTGTTTCCAGTCAACGGTGCTGCGTTTCACCTGGTGCAAACGTGCCACCTGTGTGAAAACATTCTGGCTGGTGGCTGAAGGAGGCCAAAGAGCTGGATGTTTTAGTCATGAACACTTCAGAAATAATTGGTTACAGTAGTTGGTGACGAGGAGAACTGGGAGTTTTTGTTCCAACCACATGTTCGCATCGGACGGTCCAACGTGGCCCGGACGCGATGATCATACCTCAAATCGATTGCATCGGCCAAATCCTGCGCGTTTTCAGCCCATATGTCAGTTTGGTGTACAATTTGGGGTTGGCCTACTACCTGCAACAGGTCGGTACACTTGTTTACGATTATAATCGAGGATGGTCTTTGCTAACCATGATCATCCACTGTTACAGGGAATGGGATATACACAATGTACAATGATATGTCCATATATGTCCTTATATTTCCTGTAGGTGGACCCCTGTTACAATGCAACACCAAATTAAACAATATGTGTTGTCCGCCACTCTGTGGCAGTATGCACAGGATTCGCTCTTACAAGAGAAGGACGTGTATGGGACAAAAACAAAAGGATCTGCTTTCAGGACATCGCTGTTGGTTGAGGACAAGCCAAGTCAGAGTGTCATTCAACAGGATTGTAATTTGGTATGCTGGGTCCTACGCACCATTTGGTAGTGATGGCTTCACTGTCAGGTTTGCTACAGTTGACTCTCAGTTTTTTCTCTACTGTTTGGATGTTCTTGTCAAAGTCTTCGTTTGCATACTCGTCAAGAACTCACATATATTTAAAAAGCCATTGACTTGGTCCTTTGTGTTGCGGATCCGCACGACAACGTAGACTGTGTTGACCCGATCCGTTGGCCCGATCAGTTCCTTCTCCTGGTCTTCGGCCCAACGGACTGATCGGACCGGGGACCGGACGGTTACAGACGGGACAACTAAACCCCAATGGGACATGGAAGCCTCAGACGGTGTTTGCACAGATTCTTGCAACCCAGTGTGGGTGTCCGGGTTGTCTCAAAGCTTGTTGATTTAGTCTTTTGTTTGTTTCACCTAGAGTCAGATCCAAAGCCGCGTCCAAGCGTTCTGCAGCATTTTGTTTCACAGCCTGCGGCGCCACCGTCCATGAATTTGGGTCACCTGCAATGACTGCAGCACTTTGCGTGAGGGGTGCCTTGCAACCAGGAACCTGCTTGAATGTTCAATCACACTTAGCTTGTGTCAACGTCTTCAACAAATGACTCGACCGGCACATTGAACTGGGCTTTTCGCAACTTGGATTGGACGCCAAGTTGCGCGCGACGTGTTGTGTTGACATCTACACACACACACTCTGACAATTGTATTCAGTTAACTCAGTTCCCACGCTGAGAAGGAAGGTGAGGGAACAGCAAGGTGAAAAAGTCAGCGACAACAGTATGGTTTAAATGTGTTTTCAGTGGCACTCAAAGCGGCGGCTAAGCTGCTGCAGATCTGCGGAGGGAAACCTGTTTCGGGGTGGTAGCATGAAGGACCATGGAAACAAACCAAGAGTGGAACAGCGTGAGCAACGGTTGATCGCAGGTACGTTTTCCTGATCATCCAGTGTGGAGCTTCGTTGGCAGAGGCCACAACTGGAGATCCCTCTGCCCCCTGCGGTTGAATCTGTGGGTAAAAGGTGGGTGAAACGGTGGAAGGAAACCCTTTGCCCAGGGGTGGACACACACAGGTCGCCGTCAGCGGCGCTTTTTCAAAAAGCGGTGGCAGGCTTTGTGGAAGTGTTCGTTGGCTAAGTGGGTAGTTCAAGGTGGAGCTTTGTACAGAAAGCGCCAATATTGGCGCCGCGAAAAACTAATAGCCACCTAAAAAGCCTTAGAAAGACAGACAAAGCAAACAAAACAAACGCAGACTAAGAGGGCAAGAGAGAAAGATAGGGGTAGTTACGAGGCCCACTTAGTTAAATGAAAGTAGTGCGCGAGCGGGACATTTGTCTTAAACCGCCCGGGTAGCTAGCAATAGGCTAGGAGAAACAGAAGGAAAGGCACCAACACACAAGTGTGTTGAGTGCGATTTCCTTCTGTTTCCCGAGTAGCGGGTGGGGTAGCAAAGGAGGCCCAGGGGTAGGGAGGGGGAAAAAATGCACAATTAATTTGTCCGGCCTATGAATACTTAGCAGCACATGCACATGTGAATACTTAGCCGTCAAACAGAACAATGCAAATGCTGCCAAACTGTCAGTTCCCGTGGTGAGGCCCGGCGGCCGTTGTGGCAGTTAATTCGGTGGTTGTGGCAGTGACTTCCAGTGGAGTTCCTGTGAAAAGTGGTGAGTTCAGTTAGTGCTTGCACGATGAGACAGCGCCCCAATGACGGGGATCACACTCAGCACCCGAGTGGGACGGCTGAGCGAAACACACTCTGACAATTGTATTCAGTTAACTCAGTTCCCACGCTGAGAAGGAAGGTGAGGGAACAGCAAGGTGAAAAAGTCGGCGACAACAGTATGGTTTAAATGTGTTTTCAGTGGCACTCAAAGCGGCGGCTAAGCTGCTGCAGATCTGCGGAGGGAAACCTGTTTCGGGGTGGTAGCATGAAGGACCATGGAAACAAACCAAGAGTGGAACAGCGTGAGCAACGGTTGATCGCAGGTACGTTTTCCTGATCATCCAGTGTGGAGCTTCGTTGGCAGAGGCCACAACTGGAGATCCCTCTGCCCCCTGCGGTTGAATCTGTGGGTAAAAGGTGGGTGAAACGGTGGAAGGAAACCCTTTGCCCAGGGGTGGACACACACACACACCATCACACACCCTATCGCATGGACTCTGGATCGAATTAGATCGACTAGATCCATCCGAGATCTTTTTTGGTTGCACGTTGAGCATCTCCATAGCACCTCAAGTATATTGCAATATAGTGTAATATATACTGTGTCGACCAAAACGAGTTGCATAAGTTTTGCGGTGAAGACGGTCAGGGTTTGAAAGCCAGAACCGCATGCTTAGGAACAAGTGTTGCGAATGATAGGGATTGTTGCAACACAGTCGTCGTTTGATACAGCGGGCCGCGGGACATGTCCCTGGCAGTCCTTCCTCTGCCATGAGGCCGCACAGGGCGGCCGCAATGGTCGGGTCTCGGACTGACTGGACTGCTTCTCGCTCAGGAGTCACAATCCAAACATCCAACAAAGTGCATGGTATTTGATCGTGCTATGCTGCTATACCCTCCCTAATGATCATTGAAGTTGAAAAAGCACCTGTTCGTAGAGGAAGTAATCCAAGGGGCCATGCTCCACTCTCACTCAGCCGGCCAAACAGGAGTGACCATGTTGTGAAACCGATGAGAATGTTTTGACGATGATTCTGACAGTGTTGCGATTTTTCGGCAACCTCCCAGTTGAGTCAGCCCACCAGCGAAGTTGCAGAATAGTGAGACATGCGCTTTGATGTCCAGAGAATCTTGGGAGTAGTGCTTGGTTTCGTGCCCACTGTTTTTCCATGTTCTTCCACTTCTCACCCAGCTTGCTTGTTAACATTGCGCTGTGTCAAGCCTTTGGTCTTGGTATGTCTTGGTGCCTTTCTGTCGAATGGTCGAGTATAGCTCAGCGGAAGTCTCAGCGGACCCACTCCCAGAATGGACATAGACGAACAGAACATCGGAATCGATAAAGTTTAGTTACTTTACTTCGAGTGAGCCCCACCATCACATGTCAATCATTTGTTTTCATGCCATGTGTGTTTGTGGTTGTGTTTGTTTGGTTGTGTTTGCGTGTTAGTGTTAGTGTTAGTGTTTGTGCTTGTACAATATGTGCTTATGTGTTTGTGTTAGTGTGTTAGTGAATGTGTTTGTGTGTATGTGCTTACGTGTTTGTGTGTTTGTGGTTGTGTGTGTTTGTGTGTTGGTGATTGTGTGTTTTTGGTTGTGTGTTGGTGGTTACAGTATGTGTTTGTGTTTGTGTGTTTGTGATTGTGCGTTTGTGATTGTGATTGTGGTTGTGTTTGTGTGTTTGTGGTTGTGTGCTGTGGCTGTGGCTGTGGCTGTGGCTGTGTTTGTTTGTTTGCTTGCTTGCTTGCTTGCTTGCTTCTTAAGTCTTTGTGTGTTTGTTTTATTAAAGGTTGTGTTTGAAAATCTTGGGGGCAGTGTTTGGTTTCGCATCCACTGTTCGTCCATGTTCTTCCACTTCTCACCAATTTGTTTATCAGACATTTGGTCTCGGTGCCTTTCTCTTCAATGGTCAAGTATAGCCAGAATCAGGCTGCATTCCATCAACTTTTGAGCACCCTGGTATGTGTGGGCTGGAGATGTCTATAAACGTTGAGTACCCTTGAATTATCCAGATCTACTGGGTGCACACCATGGTGATGGATTTTTCTTCTAATATCTTACTCGAATCGTGGTTGTGTTGCGTAGATGAAATCCACCCCCTGGAGATTTTCACTGTATTACTTTCTAATACCTTGGAACCCATATCATTTTAGCCACAGCCCAAGCCACTCTCCACACCCATCCAACAAAGAAAACATAACATTGTCTGAGAATGTGTTGCGCACATGAAATCCACACTGCCTTGGTATTTACATGAGCACTGCTTTCTAAGGCCTTGGAACCCAATCATTTTAGCCACACAACCCACAGGCTGAACCGCAAAGGCTGAACCACTGTTGTTTGAGGCTCTGAGCACCGCGATAATGCCACGAGATGAGCTTCACAAACGCACGGCTGTACAAATCTCACAGATTGAACTGGTTATCACGTGCCACCCCTAGATGTTATTAGTCAGAAATAGACGAAGTAGCTTTCCAAAAACTCACGGCTGGGAAAAGGATGTCCGTCATCCGTGATCTGCGATAATCTGTGACCAGCCGCGGAAAAGAGGGAGTGAATTTAGGGCTTGGACATGCACTCACATTGTGTGTGTGGTACGACCATCCTACGACCCTAGAAGCATAGCACTTTAGAGTCGACAGAACAAACTTCTTTATCCAGAGGCTATGTTATTGGGTCCCCACCTTTAGCCAGGTACCCCACCCTATTTTACCCACTTCAGAGTCCAAGTTTTCAGTTAATTTGTTTCGTCCCATGTTGGATACCTCTCCAGTTTATCCACCTTGAGGGGGGACCCAACCCCAGCTGAGGTAGCCCAAGGGGGATTATATGTTTTGTTTTCAAATGAATCTGAAACTCATCAAGTCCAAGACATTTTCGCCCTTTGGAAAAGTGGACGGGCCAGCAATGAGACTGTTACATTTTTACAAAGAGGTGAGCCGGAAGGGATGGGAAGGGAAGGCAAGAAGGGAAGAAGGGAAGGGAAGGGACGGGCAAATTGTCAAATTGAATGTCAACATGTTTGCCAGCTGCCAGGCGCAAAAATGTGACATCTCATTAAACATTATAGTCATTGGTTGTGGTTACCTTTCTAAAGTTGAATGCTTTAGACAGGGGGGTATGTATGTGGACACTAGGCATGGATATATGTTGCGGATTTGTGGCTATTTATTGGCGCTAGAAGAATGTGTTTGCGTGCTTTCTATCCTACAACCTCTGCATTGTTATCGATATCGACAGCTTGCGTGCCATGCAACTTGTTATATACATGTTTTCACAACCTGTGCATGATATGCAAAACGCTCCTTCTCACCCGCTTGGGGCAGGTCCTGTAGGTCCACCTAGACTGTGTTGGCTGCCCCTGGCTTTGCGCCATTGCAACTCGCTTTGCAGGACATTTCTCACACAGTAGCGGGGAATCTCTAGCAAGCAGAAGCCGACCCCGCCACCACACTGCTCTCGGGATCCTTGGGAATATCAACTCAAAGCGACGCGCCGTTGCATTCTTGTACCAGCCTTCCTCCACGCCTCATCCCTTCCACGGCTTCGCAAATAGATTGAAAGCATGGAAAGTCCACTACCTTGATTTTGGTTTGCGTGTTTGCATTGATCCTTGAGGCCCCTGCCACATCCAAAACTAAGCTGAACCAGGTATAATTGGGCAAGAGATGGCAAGAGAATCAAACACCAAACGTTGGGGATGCGCGTTCCCCCAGTGACACAACTTATGCAGATCGGTGACGCCAATGGCCTTTGTCTTTCCCGCTTTCCATGCGAAGAGCGTGCGTGCAGGTGCGAAGTGATGCGAAGCGCTTCGCATGAAAACGGACTGGAAACGTCCCCCACAGGGGCACAGGAAACGGCACTCCACAGAGAACGACACCCAACAATTGTAAACATTTGCGTTCGTAGAGAGCAGATGCTCACTTGGTCTTTTGCTCCAGGTAGCACAGACGTCCAGCGCATACCGCCTTATAACCCCTGAATTATCGTCTCAGGAGTTGAATTGGATCACAACACAAACCAGGCACAGACACTTGAATAGTCTCTTCATCGCTGGCGTAGGCCCCCCCTTACCTGCCGCCAACTTGCAATATTGGTGTTCATTGAGTGCGTGTGTGTGATGAAGGCGGCCGCTTCCCAGATGCAATGAAGGTAATACACCGAACGCGATAAAACAGGGAAAACCCAACGGCACGGGCTCCGTCCGGATGAATGCCCGATTTGCGCATCGGATTCACCAGTCGATTCCAGCGGAACCCTTGCTGCAGCACAAACCCGCGCCCAACACTTGTGTGATGGTCCACGCAACAGGGACCTTTGTGTCCACCAGACCCTGACGGATGAAGGGCTGGATGTTCAAGGTCAGATGGTGAGGAAGGTGCAGGATATATATATAATATATTATATATATGGAATTGAAATATATGGATTTTTGGTCACAAGGACGACATAAAGGACAGGTTGCTTTTGAGCCTGGTGGCTAGAAAGATGCGTATTTTCCCGAGGCGAACAGGCGTACCGGTGGAAGTTCCAGATGTTCTGTGTGACAGCCCATGCAAAGCACCTAGCATGTACACATTAACATCGTCATCACTCTCGGCAGGTGATGACCGTCCTTCCCTTGCACATTCGGCTCCGACCGCAGCGCCTTGCGGCTGCAGTCTTTGGTAGTCTGGGACTCACTGTGGCATTTGCATATACAACAGACCGTGTTGATGTGAAGTCGCGTGATTTTTGCAGCCACTTGCCACAGTTGGTTGGAACCCTGCCAGGGCTTGGCCAAACGCGCCATGTTCAGGTGGCGTGAGGGATTTGGCACACAGGGGCTGGTCAGGAAGGAAGGAAAGCAGGTGTCTTTCAGGATCTTGGTGGGGATTAGTGACGTACTAGTGAAGATGAGGCTTGAGGTGATCTTTGTTGATTGCACCCTTTTCTGTCATGTGCTTTCGAGACTCTTCGGAGCAGCACCCGGCCGCCGGCCTTGGATCAACGGTTCTTGAACTTGGACCCCCGTGTTGAACAACGCAGGTTCGCTGTGGAGCACCAGAATTGAACTCGCAAAATCAATGGCACAGAGAGAGAGAGAGAGATTCTTTTCACATATACTCAATTGACTCGCTGTATATTATATATATATACCAACATATATGAATGGCAACCACCCCCCAAAAAGAAAGCTACATAAATTAGCCACTAGTGGCATAGTCAAGAAAGAGTGGAAGCGCTTGAGGTGGCTTGGAAGTCCAAGTTGATGGCCAAATGGCCATTTTTGCTCAAGAGCCACCGTAGGTTTTGGGGCGCTGGCATTTATATATGTATATATATATATATTTATTTATGTGTGTATGTTGTGTTATGTTAATGCTAATGTTAATGTAATGTGATATAATGTAATGTAATGTTGTGTAATGTACTGTACTTTACTGTACTGTAATGCAATGTAATGAATGTAAAGTATGCATGTATGCATGCATGCATGTATGTTCTAGGCTCTAAAGTCGTTAAAGGAATCTGCATCCCTCGCCACCGCAGGCTGCAGCCACCCGTGACCCTCGCGACGCAGCTGAGGGCCCAGTGCGTTGGTCAAAAGAGAAGAATCTTGTGCAGGATTTTGCTAAGTGCATCTAAGTGCGTCCCTGGAGACAGTTGTCATCGTGCTTCAAGTGTCCGTGTGTTTTCTTACGGGTCTTGCGAACTGGGTGACCTCCTCGCGTTCCATAGGTCAATTGGTTCAAGCCGATTGCCGTCTCACGTCGAAGGATTCTGGTCGAAAGCACCGAATCATGTTCCTCCCGTACAGTCATTTGCAGCCGGACCTTCCAGAAAATGGATGGGACGGAAGCAAACAGTGGGGAGGCGATGGAATCGCAGGAGCCTGCTCGGTACCAGACATGTACCACCTTCAGCAGCAACAACCTTGTCACGGTCCTTGTGTAGGCCCTGCTTATCAAGATATTCAACCTACAATGATGTATATGGCAAGCAACCCGATGGGCCAGATGGACAATGCACAGCATGCCTTTCAGCAGCTCCAGGGCTTCCAGGGTTGTGGAATGATGGGGGAATCGGTTCCAATGTCGGAGCCAAACCTTAGCTTCGGACAAAGCACTTGGCACGGTGAAGGCACTAGCTGGTATGATCCTAGCTTGGAACACTTGATCCCCAACGGGCAAGACCATCTCTCGAACCAGCCCTCAAAGATCCAGGATCAGGACGAGGACACTGTCGATCCACTCGGCCTTTTACTGGCTGAGCTCAAGCCGTCACAACCAACTTCGTGGAAGGAAACTAAGTGTGACGAGGTGGACGAGGACTTTGAGCGTGACGTGACCAACGCAGTGGCCATGTTTCTTCAAGGCAATGACATAGACCTTGAATCTGAGGATGATGTTGAGGTTGATGACTCGGCAACCTGGGAGACTGGGCCTACCAGGGCACCAGCCAGGGAGGTGCCAAAGACAGATGTGCCGCAGGGGGATGAAAAGCCCATGGAAAATGTCCACCGCGACCCGCAACTCTTGTCTCTCATTTGCCAATTTGCAAAAAGGCTCCAGCAGCTGGGCCATGATCCAGACAGTAACATGCCATCCGAGATGCCTGCAGCAGGAACTGGCTCCATGGAATCAATGCCTCAGTTTCCTGAGACTCTTCACGCCGGTGTGTTGAAACTCTTTGAAAACATGACCTCGAGTCAAGTTCAAGAGAGTCCAGCTCCATTTTTTCCCATGCCAGGTGCCCAACTTGCCCCAGCTTCACGGGAGGCCCTTCCAAAGGCTTCACTCCAGCTGGAGCATTTGGTTTGCAATCCATCAGGTCGCCGGTCGCCCATTGGGCCAGAGCTTCAGCGTGGGCAGTGCATCGGTGTCTTGCTCAAGATGAAGCGTTTGCCACCGGGAGTCACTGCTGCGCACTTGGCAGTCTTGCGGCCCCACGTGACCTGGTTTTGCATATGTCATCTTATATCTTTGGGGAAGCAGGATTTTCCTCTTATTTACGAGTATTGTACGAATCCTCTTTCGGGGAGGTTGTTTTGTGTTTTTCAGAGTGCTTCAGCAAATCCGAGGTGAGGGAGACCATCAAGAACTTGGTCCACAGTCAAGTGCCGCCAACCCTCAGCAACATCACAGAGTGTTTGCGACGTGAAGGAGTTGGAGAACCTGCTTGCAAAGCTTTGCTCAATCTTTGCCACATTTTCTCCAGCACCTTTTGCCTGTGGGTGCCAGAAGAAGGTGAGGTAAGCATAGTACTTCTTGAGGAGCCGTTACCTCCGCTACCAGAGAAGACCATCCAGGACTTGCACATGGCCGTAGCAAGGCGGCTCCCGCACAAATTGAACATGATGAATTTGGCGTGCATGCGCGAGGCAGCCGATCCAAGTAGCCGTGAGTTGGCGGAGGAACTGGCCAGGGATGGAGTGACCACGTTGATGATCAAGAATCTCCCAACAAGCCTCCAGCAACCACAGGTCATGGATGAGATAGACAACACGGGCTTTGGCGGGAAGTACGACTTCTTCTACATGCCAGGAAACTTCACCGGGCACCACAAGTCTTTGGGCTACGCCTTTCTGAACCTCAAGGATGTCCAAAGCATGAAGGACTTTGTGACAGTATGGCACGGCACTAAGAGGCTGGGTGCCAAAGAGTATCCTTTGAAGGTTTCCGCGGCTGATGTGCAAGGCCGCGACGCCAATGCTCAGAACTTTGGCCCACGGATGCACCGTATCCGCAATCCATCTTTACGACCTGTGATTTTGGGTCCGTTCCCAGAGAAATCAGATCAAGCATGATCAGACGAGTTGAGCAAAAAAGAGAGAGAGAGAGAGACAGAGAGTGAGAGAGACATCTAATGAATTTACAGCATTCTTCATTGCTTGAAGACTTCCTGGATTTGTTTGTTGTTAAAAGTGTTCATCTCCCGCACTGTTGAGCGATCACTTAGCGATCACCATTTAATCCATGCCAATCCCATATAATCGCATGTTCCAAAATCCAAGAAGAACAGACCGAGGTGGTGAAGATCTTCAACACCCGGCAGCGGCCGGGTTGGACAGTACCCTGGCAGGCCTCCTCGAGGGTCCGGGCGATGCACGAGTGTGGAAGCCACATGAAGCCACCTCAGGGGAAGGCTGAGGCAGTTCTTCCCAATTCCGGTCAAGCTGCAACTGTGGACGTTGGAGTGCAGCCACCGTTGATCAACTGCCGTTTCGATCTATGCTTGCACGCCCTGAGAGCGAGCCTGGGAAGTCAAGTGAGCCTGGGAAACCAATCCAAGCGAGCCTGGGAAACCCATCTCACAGGGCTTCTCGAAACAAGTACCGTTCATAACAGGGTTTCTGCAAGGAAAGCGAACGAAAGCTACGTGCCACCAGCCTAGCAAGCCAGGACCAGCCAGTTGAAAGCACTTCTGGCCCGGCGCTTGACATTCTCCGAAGGACCCAGCAAAAGATCAGGTGGAACACGTCAGTAAGCAGTTTGATAGCTGATAAGGCGATCGGCGTCGGCTGATTGATGCGATTCTGCATGTCACGTTCGTCCGGATGACTCTCGACTCCTCTGGATCCACTCAGTCCCCTCGGGGACAGGTCAACGACAGGTAGCACCCGCAAGGCAGAAGAATGGCTCAGAATCAGGACATTCTGGACAAGTGATAGGTGCTGAGTAGGCCTAAAGCATCCTAAAGCATTGATGCCCGAAAATGAAGGAATGATCCAAATAGTCACACTTGGAGCAGGTGGAGTCTATCACTCATCCTCACTCATCCAGCCAGATGATTGGCTATGTAGGCTGTTGTGACCTGCCCCTCGAATCGCGGCATGCTTTTCTCCGAGGTTCTGGTGCAGTGATTGCCACACGTGCTTGGGCACAGCCCACACTGGACGCGCGTGGAGACGGGGGGTGCAGGGTCAAAGCCTAGGTCACAAGCGATTCGGAATAGATGGCACAAACTCTGGCTATGTCAAACATATTCGGACAAAAAAAGCCATCATTTGCCCGAAGCGACTGTATTTGGGTGAGGTGAAGAATTGTTTTGAGGATTGCAGGATGCATTTTACTCTTCCAGCTTCCGATTCCCTCTCAAAGTGAGAAAGGTTTCCAACTCTTTGAACAATTAAATTAAATAGTGCCATAGAATGCCATAGAATGATCGAAGAGTGAGTACGATTGAGATGGTTGAATGTGTGTGCGTGTATGTGTGTTTTATTTTTTTCTCAGGGCTCACGCATGCGGGAAACACTGGCCGAGGTCTTGGTCTTGGAAGCGAGGTGGGACGAGCTGTGCCGGACTCGGCCGGTGCGATCGTGCACGGGTCGGTGGTGACGGACAGCAGTGAGGTACACCAGCCGGACAGCGTGTTCCTATGTGATCAAGAATCAAGTCTACACTACAAGGTGCTTCGGTGCCATCTATTTGTCTAATGACCCTCTCCGGCCTGTGTTAGCATGGCAAGAGATGTGATGCTCAACCTGCCAAACTGTCCCGTCAAAGGCGCCTGGCCGGAGGTCGAACGGACTTGTTAGACCCATCCAAGAATCCAGTGAGTGGATACTGAGCATCCCTCCATGAAGCACGAGAGATTGAGATGTCACAGCTGGAGCGAGAGAGAGAGAGAGAGAGTGTGTTTTAACCCATGCCCCAGCGAAGCACAGCCACTAGCTCACGAGCTCGTGATGGTGACTGGCTACCTCGGACTGAGGTGCTCACAGCCGCCCATGTCATCGCAGATAGCAGATACCTGCAGGCCCTGGGGCGCTCGTGGGCCCAGGAACATCAAGAAACTATAGATTTGCACTTGTAAAACATATCTATCCATTGTGACTGGGACCCTCCAAGATTTGTGACCTCAGAAGGGGCACTTGGGTTGGAGGTTCCTGGTATGTTGGTTCTTTTCCACCCAGAAGTTTCTGCAGTGCCTGATTGGGTTCTTTGAGGTGGGAGTGTTTGTTGCCGGCGGCCGATATCGAATTCAACCTGCACTTGGCACGCTGGTGCAGATGAGCCAGCATTTTTGGCCGGCAGCCGAATTAGCCAGGTCCCAAATATAGGTTTAATGCATTTCAGTTGCGGAAAGACTCGGGCATGAAAAGCGAACAAATGCGGGGAAAGGGCATACAGTCGGTATACAGTGGGTAACTATATAAGTTGCAAACTGCTTGACAGATTCTTGTTTTCATTCATGCATGGTTTGCACAGTTGGGTCAATTTGGGGCTACATGCTGGACCGATGAATTATACAAGATATTTTGCAATATACGAAAGAGTGACAGAGTGGTAAGAGATTATATATACATTTACTTGACAAACAAGAGAGAGAGAGAGAGGGAAAAAAATAACAGAGAAGTGCACTAGCATTTCTCTCTTATCAAGCCCTCAGACTTATCTCGCCGCTCAGAAGACTGTATCAATACATATTATACGATGTGACGAACACAAGTACAGTGACATTGACATAACTCATTTCTATGTGATCCGTTTTTTCGGTGTCGGGACGCCGCTGCGAGGTGCAGCGCACCAACGACCGCTTCGGTGGCGAGAAGTTTCGCGCCGTGGCGGGTCCACGCGAACGTTCGGTTTGGAGAGCGTTCGACTCGGCCCAGCCCAATCGAATTAAAAAGAGCTAAAAAGTAAGACCATTAACAATAATCATGCATAATTCATCATTTACAGCCTTAAACACTTTGATATTATGTTCATTTATTTAGTGTATTTAGTACGATTTACCGCTGCTGTGCTGTAGTCGAGCACGGACCCGTAGTAGCCATGTGGCACTACCTGCTCATCATGCAGGCTGCAGAAGCAAGGTTGATGAACTTGGACATATGTTTAGAGCTCACCACTTCTAAAGTGTAACTGATTTCTCAAACCACTCTACTGTTTCTTCCCGTTGCTTACTGTTGCTGGGTTTGGTCTAATTTCCTTGCCACTGATTCATTGTATTCCGTACCATCCCGCAAAAGGGTGGCAACGAGTCAACAATCTAGGATTGGACCCAAAGGTTCTTAGCGGGTCAGCAGCACAATCTGAATGTATATATATATATACATATTTCTACTGTATATTGGATGATTCGCACCTCTTGAGGTGCTCATGTAGTGGCTGTGTGCCATGAGATCGACCTGGCCTTGCATGGGCACCCAGCGCGTGAAGATGGGGAAACTGCAAACGATGGAAGTAGACGAACTGCACGCATTATCATTAGCATTCATTAGCAATAATCTTGGGGATGGCAGTCCTTATTCGGTGCGAGTGCATTGAGCTCCACCTATTCGGAAGCATAAAAAGCTGCGGAGTGCCACGCCACGTGCGTTTTTTTTGGTCTTAAGCACCGAAGGCAATACGGGCGACAAAGGGCTTGCTATGGGGCTTGCTATGTGGAAAGTAGAATAAAACAACACGGCGGAAACGGTGATTCAGACTGACTGGTCGAAGACTAGTGATGTGAGGTGTGAATGTGGACTGTATGAGTGACAGTACAGGACAGGAAAGGCAAGGAGGGATTGGATGAATGAAGTAAACTGAAATTAATTGAATGAACAAATGAATAAATGAAATTATGAATCAGGTTCATGGGTGAAGCTTTATTTATACCTGTCCGACTGCATAGGGCAGCAGGACAGCTCCATCATGTTGTGGGTAGTCGGATGGTAGAGATTGTGCCTTCTGTACACTTCTCAAATTCATGTAATTATCAGATCTTCTCTTAATACTGTTATATCATGAACATTAATACCGGTATAATTATCAGATCTTCTCTTAATAATGTACAGATTCATGTAATTTTATTATATCTTCAGATCTTCAGACTGTTTAAATGTAAATTGTGGCGGTGATGATTTCGAGCCCACAAATACGTTTGTTTTGACCCAGTTGAAACCAGACTATTTCCCTATTGCCCCATTGTGTCATTCAAGCAGTGACAGCCCGCTACAGCCCGCTACATGCGGGCGCTAATGGGCAGGTTGCGGCTAGAGGAGGAAGAAGTACTGGAGGAGAAAGCTGTCGGATGGGCAAGACAAGCTGTTTATTCGCCTTTTGTTGTTTTTGGGGAAGGGGCCGTCCTTCACCTGTGTTCCCAGGGGGGCCCCTGCGGACTTGATACGACGGTGGCCGTCCCGTTGTTTATGTTTTGTTGCTGTTTTGCTTATATGGTGCTTCGTTGCTGCTGCCTTGCGCCTTGCCTTATTCACTCCTGTGCGTATTGTCTTCGTCTCGTCTTCGCAGAGTGCCGTTCGTCCCGCCATCCTTCGTGCTCCTTGTGCCTCCCTGTGTTATCGTTGTGTTTTCTTGTTTGTTTTCTTTTTCCCTCTCTGGTTGATGTTCTTTGACGTTTCTTTTCCCCCCCCAAACTACTGCTTTCACCGCTCTGCTGATCTTCTGAACGTGGGTTAGGTTTTTCCTCGGGGTAGGGCTCCGTTTGGCTGTGGGTGCTCCTCCTGCTTGGTTTCCGTAAACCCACACCTAGGCCTCAGGGCGCGTTGGGTGTTGGTGGTGCTGCTCCGGTTTCCCCCCTAGCTTTCGCTCGTTTTGCCCGGCTACCTTTGTCTCGGCCTTAACGGCCCTAGTGAGCTTTGTGCGCTCTTTTGTGTGTGGCGTTTTTACGCGCACGTTTTACCAATTTTCCGTTTCTTCTCGCTTCGTTTTAGGAGTTTGTGACGCTATGCCCATTTTGGGCGATCAGCGATTACCACGATGGTAAGCGAGACAGACCTCTGTACAGTAAATTTATATATAGTTATACGATTATAATCGATTATATACTCATACCTGCTCCACATCCAAGCTGTTGAACATGGCATGCAACCCCTCCAAGGATTATGCATGTCAATGAAAAAGTCACCCCACGAGTTGTACGAGTTTAATGGGTTAATAGATTTGCAGAAGACGTAGCCGCAGCCAGGCGCATGACGCGGCATAGCATGGTTTATGTAGGTGGAAGACGCCAAGCGTGAAGACTTTGTGAGGCACTTGGAGGTGTCCAGTGTGAGTGATGCAATGAGGGAACTAGATATTATTTGCTGGTGGTTTGGAGGGGGCTAACGTGGGGGCATCGATATAAACCCGATTAATTTCATAATACTGCATATGAATATAATATATATACATACTTTGGATATCTCAACCAAAGTTACCAAAGCAACAACTCAGCAAGCAAATGTTTGGTTGGAACCGGTTTGCACCAGAATCGAACCGGCCCATTCCCGCCCTGCTGTTTATGTTGGTAATTATTGAGCGGTGGCGTTGGGTCACCACTTAACCAACTGTGAATATTGTCGGCATTGTGAGTATATGCCTGCCAGTTAGCTAGTTGCTAAGTGGGCCACCTTAAATCAAGCTGGGTCGGATGGTCAAGGTGAATGCCATGCCCGCCATGCACTCAGTGCTTCCTGGTTTGGGCGCACCCCGTAGCGCAGACCTGTGTTGTTCCGCTCAAGCTGAAGTCTTTCTTGTGACCCCGCAGATTCGCGTTTTTTTTTTCCATGGCCGCGACTCAGAATCATTCCAGGGGCGCGAGGGTGACCCCGACACCTCGCCCCCCAATTCTTTGTTTCCTCTTTGGCCCTTGCAATTTGGTCCAGGAGATGGAGCCTTTGGTGGTGGGATCGGCTTACGTCTCAGCTTTCCGCAGCCAGAATGCCCAAAGCCTTCAGTGAATCACTGAGTGTTTGGTGTCTCCAGGTGTTTTTTTTCTCTCAGTAAGGGCAGTGGCTCAAGGCCTGGAGTCTTTGCAAAAACTATGTCAGTCAGTATGAATGATATGAATGTTGAGGTATCAACCTTTGCATTCGGGATGTGCCAACCATGATGCAGACAGGCCACTGAGCTGCCCCGAGTCTTCGACAAAGTGGGGGAGCTTGGTAAGCAAAGAGGCGGTCGATGGGCTGCGGGATTGGGGCAATCCGTGTATGATTTGATCATCTTTGATCCTGTCCATTTGCGGGGATTCCTTGCTGGAGCCTAGAGCCACTGGATTTCCCCTTCGGTGGTGTTTTCACGAAAGCTAGCGAAGCTAGCTGGAGTTACTCTTGCGATAGCAAGGTTTCTTTCGACCGGGTGCAAATCCTAACCCCTGATTTTTCAGGTCGAAGCCCCCCCCCCCCTCCCCTCTCCCCACCTCCCCTCTCCCCACCTCCCCTCTCCCCACCTCCCCTCTCCTCCTCCTTGTCTTCCTCCCATCTTCCCTCCCTCCCTCCCTCCTCCCTCTTCGCAAGCAAGTTCGACTCCGTCCTGTCGTTCTTTGGCATGCGGTTAGCGTTGCGTATCTTGCGGCCGCACTCGCTCACTCTCACTCTCACTGTCTCACTGTCTCTCTCATCTCTCTCATCTCTTTCTCATCTCTCTCATCTCTCTCTCCTCTCTCTCTCCTCTCTCTCTCCTCTCTCTCTCTCTCTCTCTCTCTCTCCTCTCTGTCTCTCGTCTTTCCGTCTCTCTTCTCTCTCTTCTCTCGCAGGAGGATCCGGGCAAAGAGCCGCATATAAAGGACTCTTCACCCCTGCCTGCAAAAAGAGCGCCGTGTTTTTTCCTACCTCGCTGCCCTCCACTTTCCCATTCTGGAGCGCTAGCTTTCGCCCCCCCCTTGGCCTCAAGTTTTTCAAGTTGGATTTGCTGGTCCTGGGTGTTAACATTGGCACTCCTATATAGTGCTAAGTACTTGCAGGGAAACACATGGAACAGTAGATCAAAGCCAGTGATGTGAGTTGCAGACGCTAGTGGGTATTCTGAGTTATATACCTCACCAGGTGCACCCTGGTGGGTTCCAGAGGGTAGAAGTTTTAGGGTGCTTTAGCAAGAGCCAGATGACTCAAGAGACCCAGCTTCGCAGCAGGTCGCAGCGCAGCTGGGATAAGTGCCCTGCTCCACATCAGCACCCCTGCTTGACCAAGCGCCAAAGCTTAGGTTGTAAGTTCTGATTGCTGGCATGAGAAACCCTGGCACTTCATTCCACAGTTTCTGCAAGACCCGCCGTAAGGACAGGTGGCCGAACAAAGTGGCTTTGGGAGACGAAGCTTATAGATGTGGCTTTCAAGTCCATTTGCAATTGCTTGCCAGTAGGATGAGCTCGCAGGGCCCTGGCAAGTTGGTGCATCAACGTGTTCACCCTATAGTGGAATGAGTCGTGCTTCATCACCTGCGCCATCTTTCCAGGTTCGAGTGGTCGGTTATCCCATTGGCCGGGGGCCACGGAAGGTGATTGCCAAAGCAGACATCCCCCGACCACGGACTCGGTGTTGGCTCAAAGAGATCCCAATGTGGTGGTTCAACATATATAATTCTTGGCCACTGGAGGATTTGAGCCGCGAGTACTAGGGGGTACTTACAATACAAACCATACAATATGTGTTTATAGGATGTTTCAATTACTTCACCGATGCTGCTTTGTCAGTGATGATTGCACATCATTCTTGTACTTCATTCGTTCTTGGGTTACATGCCGTGCTATGAAACTCGAAGATCACCATCATATATAGTACGTCATACACAGTTGGGAAAGTTCTAATGAACATGAATGAACCAACCTTGCCATGCAAAACAATGGGAGGTGTTTGATATCAAACACGTGCTTTCGATACCTTTGACAGTTCAAGCCGTTAACGAATTCATGGGAGTTGCGTCCCTAGTGGCTGTCCCTTTATGAGCCACGCATGAAGAAACATGGCTCATTCATGGGAATGAGAATCGTCCTCACAGCATCGCTTCACCCCGTCCAGACGGCCAAGATGGGACTTCCTCACTCACGAGTGAAGGCCTTTTCCAGAGTACTCCATAATCTATGGATTTGTTTTGGTATATCATGTTATACCTTCCATCCCTGAAACCACTCCAAATCTTGGCCAATAGATGTATATAAAACATATCATTTCAAAAAGAAATATACGTTGTCGTACATGATCACCCATGATCGTCCTTCTTCCCCATCGATCGGGGGGGGGGGGGCATGATCGACGTGCCACGTTCTCAGGTGGAGATGCTTGCAGCGTCACCGAGGGCGTGGTGAGCCGCGTGGAGGTCGTGGTCAGCCCCGAGTCGACGCGAGTCCATCCGCGGTGACCAGTCAAGTCGAGTGGGAAATCGGTGGAGTCGTCGATGACTGGAGTTCAGGGGAACACCCACAGAAACCAGAAACTATCAGAAACCTACTATGCCTATGCAAGACTATAAACTGCTTCTGCCGCTCAACCCGGGCGGCATCAATAGAGCTATGATGTTTTCACGTGAACTTAGGATCAATTTGGTGGGACATGTGCCCAAACTTGCACCCGGAGAGTGTGTTTGGGCCCCCACCTCAGCAGGTGCAGGAGTACTCGCACTCCCTCCGCTTCGGGCTGGCGCTCACCGTGGACGCAGCCATCAACAGACGGGACCACCCAGGGACCGCGGCGGATGGCGAGTCACGCGAGTCACGGCGAGTCCGTCTCAGATCGGTGCCCCGCGAGTCTCGAAGGTCGCCGTGATCCGAATTCCTACCCAGCGGGGTCCGGTTCCGGAGGGTCTATAGATCATAGGATGCCTTTCCAAACAACACCGAACAGACGAACATGAGACTCCAAACATCTCCAGATCGTTGGTTTGGGGGCGCTCGGGGTGGCCGAACAAAGGGAGGCCCGTGGTCCTTCTTGGGTTCTGCATTCGTCCGATGGCTTCGTGTTCTGTGACGACCGGTCCACGTTGGTTGGGCCGCAGGTGGCAACAGCGGTGGGCCACTGGTGGATGCCTTGAGTGGCCATGTGCAGTCCTCGACGGACCGAAAAGACATGACAAGTTCGACGAAGAGGACCACGTTCGACGACGTGGTGTGCTGGATCATGTTTGATCCCTCTCGTACATATGAAAGTTACATCATACAGTGATCAGTGATCCATAGTGATCCTATTTTGTATGTTAGATATATTAATATTATGAAGTGTTACGAACCAGCTTTCGAGCTTTGGACACCTGGGGTGTCCATGGCATCCCGGGGCGGAGCGCCACCAGACAGTTCGGTGGCGCCCAGCAGAGCAGCGAACTGAGGTGGTCGGTGTGGCGTTCCAGAAGATGGTGGCTCGTGGTGTTGAGCTTCAGGCAGACCCAGAGTGTGCTTGGCCTTCCAGGACATGGTGCTTGGATGTGTTGGGATGTTTGGGTCACCGGGTGCCCCTCATCATGGCTGCTTTTGGGGACGTGTTTTGAAAGGCATGCTGTGTTTGTTCACCCTAGCGGCGATGGACATGGTTATCCAAGGTGTTATACTCCATATCCGCATGGCAAATTAATGGTTTTTTGGTGTTGCTGAACTACAAGCCCGAAAAGAGCTTGCACTTTGCCCTCTACAGTTGCAGCTGCAGCACCCAATTAGACCTCCCAACAACTCAACAACACCGGAACAAAGTTTCCTGGCATCAATCCAGCTCATGGTGCACCCGTTTCCCATCGATGCACCAACAGCACAACGGGACACGTCCCTGCCGCGATCCCCGGATGGAACGGCAGGGCCATGCCGTGCCAGCGCCCGTGATCCAACGCTTCCTTGAGGATGTGGCCAGCGCGGTATCCCAGGAAAAAGAGTGGAACAGCACACTCCCTGGAACAAATGTGACACGTGGAACATGGCCTTGGAAGACAATTTTTCCGCGTTTGAGTTCCAGGAAGAGTACTGCTCAGAAAAACAAGATCAATTCTCAAATGTTTGTGTTGCTTGGAATAAGCTGGAGTGTGTTTTTGTTAAGCCTCCCAAGGGCTCACCATTGCCCCCCCAAACGGCGAGCCTTCCAATTGGGCAGCCCGAGCCGGATGGATCTGGCAGAGTTGTCTTCTGAATGATGTGCTTGTAGCCCCGCACTCAGAGAATGTGCGAAGATGCCAGCGTCGGGTTCGATGCGGATGCGGACAGATTGATTTGTGCCTTGGACATGCATAGTTGGGGCTAATACTCTTCAAACGCACAAAAATGATGTACTCAGGAACTGCACGAGACTATGCGGACTTTGATTTCTGATTTACCCAACACAATCAAGCCAACTTACTTGTAGGCGCCCACTTCTCCCTGAGGTTCTGCCGCTGGCGAAGGCAGCCCAGTGAGGCTCAAGATGCCATCGTTGGGTCCGGGACCCGGAAACTGCGGAAGAGTGTCGAGACGGGTCGGATCGATCATGATGGATCTCTGAAAATGACTCTCCAACCTATTTTTGACAACATCCAGTTGTACATCTGGTGGGTGTTACTGTACAAGTCATACGGCTGGTGTTTCTGCAGCAGCAGCAGCAGGAGGAGTAGTAGTGGTGGTGGTGGTAGTAGTAGTAGTAGTAGCAGCTCTTAGATTTGTTCAGCACACTCCAAGCTTGCAACCCCAAGGCCTATCGGTGTCGATGCCCTTTCTGCAAGCTGTCAGCAACGACCAAACCTTGGGAACTGTAAGCCTGTAAGCAATCCAAGTCGAAGCATTCATGTTGTTTCAGTCCCTTAAGTCTTCCAGTACAAGACGTCGTCAATCAGGGACTTTGAAGAAAGATCTTGGATATTGAAGTGCATTTATCAAAACTGTCCGGCAATTTGGATTGATATAGAATCAACAAATTAATGAATCCAATGAAGAAAAGGAAACAGTTTGCTATATACAAAAGCTTGTTGCCTGAGGGATCCTTTCAGGCCTACTCAATCTGGGTGGAAATCATGCTGCTCACTTTCCTGCGGACCGGGTCCAGTCCCCAACCCTGAGGCTGTGACTACCAGTCCCTTGAGCCCCCAGCCTTGCGGCAGTCGTTGGGGTGGTGGGCTCAGCATTGAGACGGTACAGATTGTGCACTTTATGTTTTCCTTATTCGGGGGCTTGGGTGATCAGTCTTATCAGCGTTGCGTATGTTGAGTAAGTTAAGCTTCCATTGGATCAACACTATATATATATATATACTCCTGTTGTTTCAACATGTTTCAAGTAGTCTTCCAACAGTGTTTTAAGTTTGCTATGTCCATTTCTGAGCTTCCTGCAGCTCAACATCGCGGTATTGTTGGTTACAGTGGAAGGAATACCGGTGTTAGCAGCGTGGGTCGGGCGAGATCTCGCTGAGGTTGGACGAGTTGAAGGGGATCCTCATCTCTCGCTTGCATCACGCCTCACGCGCTCAAGGAAGGTTGTCGTGTGTTTTTTTCGTTGGGTTCTTAGGAGAGTTTGGTTGAGAGATGCTTGGGACAGAACAAACAACGCTAAGATCCCGTGACGAGCGCTATGTGATCATAAAATTAGGAGGGCCCCCCTTCGTGGTGGGTTGCCGGATTCTTGAGCTCCTTTGTGTGCAAAACGGAGGTCTTGGAGGGAGGAGTTTTGATTGGTTTGTGTTCGTGGAGCTTGAGAGATGGTTTACTGTAGGGTGAAGGGCAAGAGGGAATCTTCCAAAAGATGGGACAACTGTTGACACATCAGGCCTTCTTCCCAAGCTTTGGCCTCCAACTATGTGCCTAATTCATTGGTTCAAAGTTTGGGATGAAGACTCAGTCTCATCTCCTCCATCTCCGAGATGAACAACCTGGATGCCTGAATGCTCAGATGCGATCAACTTTTGGAATATGTTTTTTCTTTATGGACGCAGGGTCGTGCGCGTTTGTCAAGAGTAGAGGCTGCGAGCTGCTCGTCGCAATAGTCATGCCAAGGGGTTCAAAACCAAGGGCCTTCGCCACCTCCTGACATGAACTGAGTGCAATTTTGTCCTTCTCTTTGTAGCACCGCCCCATCCAAGTGCAATGACTATGCTAGAGAACACCAGACAGTTGGCGAAGCTGGCGAAGCAGTCGGTGAAGCATATCATTTGCATAGCAATCCACCATTTAAGCCGCCTTTGGTCTTGCCCATGACGTACCAGCCCATCAGCTGGTTGCATCATCCTGTTGCTAACCGCCTTTGTTTCAAATCCAGCAAGAAACTGAGCAACGGATGGATGTGCCCGTGGCGTCAAACACCATTGATCTTGCGGATCCGGCGTGGTTTCAACGCTGGGTCAACTTCCGCCGCCTCTCCCAGGCCGACCCAGGTCGTCACGCCGTCGGGGGCGCCCGTCAGGGAGCGCGGTGCGTGGGTGCACTGGGTGGGAGAGGGCAGTCGAGCGAACTTGTGGACAGTCGATTGAGTTATTCTTTTCAGACCAGATTTGAAGATGAAGAGATTGGTGTTGCAAACATGCTACTGAGAAAGACAAAAGTGTCATCATTGCTATATACTATCAATGGATTGACATAGATGACGTGCTAAGCTGTCAAACTGCAGACAGCTCAACGGGAGGTTCACAAGTCCACCAACAAAAATCCTAAAACCGCCGGGTTTGCTCTGTCAGACGGGCCTCGCTGCCGGCGACGTGCTGTTGACCTTCAATGGCCTCTTGTTTGAACGCAGCAGAGGTGACAGGGATGCGAACAGGACGAGTCCACTCGTTTCTGTTTGTTCCCATGCTGCTGGGCAGGGTGCCGGTTGGGTGCGGCTAGGAGAAAGGAGGGCAAAAGGCATGTGCAAAGAACAGATGGGGGTTCTCACCGTTTTTTCAGGCTTGACACGCATGTTCCCCCTCTCAGCATCCTCATCGACACTGAGGAGAACCCCCTGGTGCGAAGGAAAATGTGCATAATGTGTCAGAGTCAGGTGAGTCAGGGGGCCAAACTGAGTTGCACTTCCATGTTTTTTTGGACCCTACTCATAGGAGGGCTGCTCATGAACACTGGGTGAGTGGTGCCAATCACAAAAATACGACATAATACAACCAACTACTATACTCCAAGCTACTGCAAACTACCAGAACCTCTCCAATCCTATCGCAAATTACAGAAATACATGAAATACTCGCGTCGTTGAAGCCAGAATGAAAGGCAGCAGGCCAGGTTACAGCTTTTTCTAGCATGGTTGTTGTTCCACTTGTGTTGCACCACTTGTACCAATAAATGCAGAGCACATTGCCTCACAACCACTATAAACTACCACCCTAAACTTCCAAAAGCTCCCCTTTGGACAAGTATTGTTCACTCCACTTGAACCCCTTCCACAGCAAAAATATTGCCAAACAGGCACTTACAAGCAAGTATGGGTTCAAGGGGTAGGAGATGGATGTATATAAAAGGTAGGCTTTAGTCTTAGCAGATCTTAGCAGGTTGTTATAGCTAGCATGTTTATCTTGAGTTGCCCCAGCGCCCTAGCGATGAGACGCCCGGTCCTTAGCAAAGAATGTGGTTCAGGGAGGATCATCATTCCGGCCAGTTCTTCAGGTCATAAGCTTGATGAGTTGGGCTTCGCCGACCTTTTTGGCCCCGGGGTGGGATGGTGGAGACTGGTGTGGGCAGTGGGGTAGCCGTGCTTGCAAGGGCTTGGCTTTTGGGGCTAACTCTTGAGCCCTGCAAGACCCACAAGAGCAATAAAATACCCGTCTGGAAATCTATTTTCCTGTAGGTGGACCTCCATTATATCTAAAAATCTATGTCTATATAGGTGTCCCCCTGGTTCCAGGACTTCATAAGATTTTTTGGCATATCCATTTTATTCCTACTCATCAGGATTTTACAACATTTACATATCTTATTTCTTATTACATAATTCCTGGTCCGTCCACTGGTTAACTAACTAGATTCAGGATTTGTTTTAATGCCTGCAAATCCTACAGGAAAAGTAGTTGGATTCCAGACGTTCCTGCGAGAAACGGTCAACATCGGTGGATGGTTGTGGACGTTGTCACTGCAGACAACCATGTTTTGAATTCACAATGTCACAATGCCCGTTTGCACAGGAATAAAGCACACAACCACAAACACACAACCACAAACACACCAACCACAAACACAAACACAACAACAAACACACAACCACAAACACACAACCACAAACACAACCACAAACACACACAACCACAAACACACACAACCACAAACACACAACCACAAACACACAACCACAAACACACAACCATAAACACACAACCACAAACACAACAACCACAAACACAACAACCACAAACACAACAACCACAAACACAACAACCACAAATACAACAACCACAAACACACAACCACAAACACACAACCACAAACACAACAACCACAAACACAACAACAAACACACAACCACAAATACACAACCACAACCACAACCACAAACACCACAACCACAACCACAACACAGCACACAACCACAAACACAACACACAACCACAAACACAACACACAAGCACAGCACACAACCCGAGGACCCACAAGCAAAATCGAGAACTACAATACTCGCGACCATGGCAACATGCTCCTCACTATTGCATCAAGACACATGATTGAAATGTCATGGTGGGGATCACTCGAAGTAAAGCAATTTTTTCTGTTTGCAGTTTGGTTGTTGCTGCTGGCCCCAGGAATCCTATACCAATGGTGTTTCAGCCTGGGGGATGACGTGGGGGAGAAGCTTAGCAAGATCTAGGATTCATTCCCCAGGGAGTTGATTTTTCCGCTTACAGGAGTTTTATATAACCTAATTTGCGGACAGGACTTCATGAACCTCCCGAATCTGACTTACCTAGGGATTTTCATTTTTTAAACCTAGTTGTACCCAAGTACGCACGGGCATCAATAAAAAGAATGGAGCAGATAGCGTTAAGCTTTGTGGGGGCCAGTGGTGGCTAGTTCATTTTGGATGCCAACCCTATCGTCAATGAAACAAATCCAGCAACACGCGGTTGGAGCAACCTGAGTGAGGACATTTGTAGAAACAACATGAAACGACCTCCAACTCAGGTGGCGATTCCTTCGGCTGCGTTGCTTCATGGAAACACTAGGACATGCACTTGGCACTCTTGATGCCGATAGGATTTCTGTCAACTCCAACTCAACTCGCCACCCGTTTAGTTTAAAAAAAGGGACCTCCCCAAAAAAACATACAATTTTCCAAGCCGTCGGCGCAGTAGGAGCGCTGGGATCCACTCATCCCACGGTTTTGAGATCCGACGCCCGGTGATCCTGTGGAGGGCGGAGGCTCCATTTTGGCGCGGCCCGCGACCTGTGCCACCCGACCAGAAGGGAAGACGGGCGGGATTCGGCGGTCGACGGAGGAAGGCGAACAGTGGACGGATGAGTTGGCCCTGCGAATTGGTTGGCCGCAATTTCGGGTGGTGGTGCAGGAGATTTGGCTGAAAACCACACAGTGGGCGCAGTGGGGGGGTTATGAAGTGATGGTTGGCGGTTGGCTTGAGGGTGAATGTTTGCCAAACCGATCAGGCCCAGCGCAATGGAAGGAAATCACAGCTGAGCAAATTCTTGTTTTGACTGTGTAATCAAAACGAAGTCCCTTTCAAGGTAGAAGCAGGAAAGTGCCTGAAACATGCGAAGCAGAGGTGCAACAAGTGTGTGTTTGTTTGTGTGTTTGTGGCTGGGTGGGTGACATGTGGTATTTTTTTCGTTGTTTTTTTCCCCGGAAGTCTTTGGAGGCCTCATTCGACATCGGAAAGGAGATGCCGCTGCGATGGGGGCATCTAATTATTGTTTCACTCCGCGCCAACGCATGGAAGGCAAATGCCACGAGCCTGGTTCCTTCGCCCTGCCCGATCACAACTGCTGCAAGAGCGCTTTTGGGGTCCGAGGGCACAATGGGTGCTGGTCACTCAAGGGTTTGCCCTGCCCTATCTCACTTCAAGGCCAAGTTACGAAATGTGGAAGGTAATCAAGGCCACGATTCTCTTTGACTGGCGTCAAAACGGAACCGGTTTTTCATATCCATTTGGCCACCCACCCCAATGTATGCGTAATGGCGATCCCTCTAATGACACACGTACACGCAGTGCGGCACTGCGGAAGCGGCGGCACATGGGAGCTTCACTGCCGCTTCACGTTCGACTCTCCACTGACCGACGGAACGATGGTCCTCCACTCCGCCGGAAGCTTCGCTTCCGGCTCCCGCCGGCCGCATCCGATGTTTGCCGTTCTTCCCGTCCAGGTCGCGTGGGCTCGGCCGTGGAGATGGAGGTGTGGCGTGGAGGCGCCCGTCACATGGTGCAGCAGGCGCTCCGCGAGCGCGAGCGCGAGGTGGTATCGCTTTGTAAACCTCTTGTGTATATATATATATATACATGGGCATTTGGACCTCCAGTGTAGGGGTGGGGATTTGGCTGGTTTGGGATCTAGCTGGTTTGGGATGGGCTGGGCCGGCCTGCTCGCATGAATGCAAGGAACGAGACACGAAGGAGAAAGGATGCAGTTCAGATGTCCAGTGATTGCAGTGTCAGTTCTGTTCAGACATTCTCAGTTTAGCGCTTCTGGGAAGATGAAGCCTGAACTCATTCCAAGATTTTCCTGTATGTTCTTGACCTCCGCCGCAAAGCACACCGCTTGGCCCTTCACCCGCGACTCGCTTCACCCCTTGGCGTGTCAGGTGCTCCGACCCGCACAGCACCTGGTGCCAAGGTGAGGAGTCGAAAAGGGATCCGCCATCCATCCTCTTCCTATGTGTTTTATTTTCCCTTAAGGCCCTTGTGGGTAAATTCCCAAACCTGGTGAGAATGTGATTGTATTTTCCTCCGGTTCCTTCAGCAAATCCAAGTCTTTGTGGGATTTCATTCCAAATTTGGCCAGCAATGTGCTTCTGAGGCCCTAGAATTTGGCAGCTTGGAACCATTTTTGATCAGGGGGTTAGTGGGGGGAGGTTCCAGGATTCTTTTGGCACCAAGTGCTGTTTCAGGGACTTTATATACGTGGAATCCTTCGAATCAGCGCTTTTGTGTCAAGTTTCAATGTTGAACCAGATCGAAGATGTGGGACTAGGCCGACCCAGCGATTTGTGTGCCCCTTAACCCCAGCCAGGTCGGGAGGCTCCCCACCGTACGGTGAAAGGAACTTGGATTTGTGTTGATGTTGTTGAAAGAAACCTTCACCAGTAGACGGATGTTGGAAACTACCAACTGCTTGTGGAACCAACTCTGATGTTGCCCTTCGGTCAACCGACCCGGATTCAAGATGTTGCTCAAATAGTGACGCATCCAACAATAGAGTGTATAGGCTCCATGGTGGAACATCTTGCATGTGGAGAGCAGGCTGAGAAGGAGATTCAAATTTGTTGGATGTTGACTGCATGGCCCTGCAGAGTAGAACTTTTTGCACAGGAACTTGTAGCACAAATAATATTTTGGACGGCCTTGTGCATCAGACCCCTTGCTTTGCAGATTTGCCCTCAGTGATCCAAAATAGGAGAGGTCATCATACTGGAGGCTAAGGACTAAGGAGTTAACGGAGCTACCTCAAAATTACAGCGTTCCAAGTCATCAGGCAAAGTAAATCTGGTAGAAAGCACGTGTGGCCTAAGTCAACAGGGATAATATTGCAAAACAGGACTTCTAGAGCAGGTTTGAAGAAAAAAAACGATGAAACACAAGGATTCAGGCAAATGACCAAGGACTTTTGCCGGAAACCTTGGCTTAAAGCCCCTGTGTCATGTGATAATTCCAGTCATGTTCACGATAATTCTAGCCAGGGTTGCTGAAAAAGGGACCAACTGCCCATGTCATGATGCATGTGATTTGTCTCTCACACATTGATTTCACCAGTTTTATGGCATGTATTGGTTTGCCATCTCCGATCTTTGCTGAAACGCGTCTCCGACTCTGTCCCTGTTGGAAGGGGCCAATACGATGTCCGGCCTCGCTTCTTCATTGTGGGCGGACTAGTTTTCCAAGCGCTCAGTCGCTTGGCTGCCGGGAGGATCGATCTAGGCGAACCTGTGGGCGAACCCGCCCACCTACGCCCGAGGGTTCAAAGCAACCCCCCACGCACTGCTCACAGACCACTACTATACAGTATACGCCCCTCCCCCAAAACCTCAAGTCTACAATGTTTAAATGCTTTACTGGCATTCACAGTGTTTTCAGGTCATTTTTGCAACATATGTTTGAGGGGGGGGGAACTTTGAGGCTTAAATGGGTACCAATCTATAGATATATTTATAGCCACGGTTGTGGTATGTGTACTTGGGAAATTGTCTCCAAGGGCGTTTGCAAATTCAAATGTTTGCAAACGAGCCTTCCGTCCAGGATTGAAGATTGAAGGCTGGGAGAAAAAAGCAAAACGCTTCTTCAATCCAGCTGATTGAATATTGAAGGCTTAGAACATATAGACTTCTTCAATAGATTGAAGGCCGGGGAAAGACTTCGAACCAGCCGGGAAAATACGTTTTCCTCCTGGATTGAAGATTGAAGGCTTGTATTTTTTCTTCAACCGAGCCGGAAAAAAACACTTCTTCAATCCAGCCTCCTGGATTGAAGTGAAGATTGAAGGCTGGGGACAAACTTCGATGACAAGGGAGGCAGTGAAGTCTGCACTGGTCATGGTTCAAAAGAAATTGCAGCTCCAGATTAGGATGCTCAGGGGCTGGATGAGGCCGACAAAGTCCTCGTGGAGAACTTGTCGCAAAGAAAGAGTCGCCGACTGCCTTGGTCAAGAAACCACTGATGGTTTTGCCAGCTCCTCCAGTGGTGGAAGACAAGGATCAGGGATCAACATTGTCTTCAAGTAGCGAGGGAAGCGCAGATCCACCAGCAAAAAGAGCAAAGAAACTGTCTTCATCCTCTTCTTCCACGAAGAAGTCCGTCCCGAGATCGAAGATTGAGACATGGAATGCAGATGCTTAGTCACCTCGTGAATGCCATCCGATGGAGTCAGGAAATTGAAGAGGAGAATGAAGAGCCCAAATCTCTTTGCATGGGACGGTGATGTGACAAATGAGTTGATGAGCTGAGTGGCTTTGAATATGAGTTTGTGGCGTTCTTTGGTGTTTGCGTCTGTTCCATCTCTTCACAAGTCTGCGTTTGAAGGACCAAAGAAGGAACAAGGTAGACGTTTTTTGGGGGAGCATATACAAATATATACAGAAAACGACGTTATGCGGGTGTGGTTTTTACGCGTTTTTGTGATTTGTGGTTTTCTGTGTTTTTTTGAAAATGTTAGTTGTTTTGAAGAACGTGTCTAGCAAAAATGTCGACTTGTAATCTATCAAATTTCTCATCAATCTGATTCAAACATACTAGTTCTCTTTGATTCCCACACAGAAGTCCATCAACCATCATCTATCAGCAAGTCCACGACATCCCATCATACAACATCAGGTCATCACCTCTATGAGGGAGATCTGGTCTCCAAGACCTCCAATCTCAATCAGTCCTCAATCTCCAGCAACTGGGGCCTGGGGCTGGGCTTCTCTAAGGGGGGGGGGGGGCAAAAAAAAAAAAAAAATTTTTTCCAATTTCCAGGGGTTTTTTTTTTTCTTTTTTTGGCCCCCCCCCCCCCTAGAGAAGCCCAGGCCCAGGCCGCACTTGCTGGAGATTGAGGACTCATTGTCAATTCCACGAGCTGGAAGTGGCCCAGGTGCTAGAGATAGTCAAGATTATTGATTTCATTATAGCTACCTGTGTAAGAGTAGCAATTCCACCACAACTTCTTATATTCCTCTCGTCTGTTTGAAGACACAGCTGTCTGCTCCTGCAAGCACTTGTATATACTGTAGGCTCTATGTGGTGAGGGTGGATACCTATACTGTATGGTCTCAATGATGGAGTGTGGAAGATTGTCTTGATTTGATGGCTTAAGATATCCAATGAAAGAGAGAGATGGGCATATAGCTAGAGAGCATAGGAAAATGGAACTTCCAATGTGGATGAAATGAGATGAGATGTGAGATGAGATGAAGCATTGGGTGCATCAAACAGCTGGCATTGGGCTTGTGGCTGTATGCGTGCAATTCCATTTGAGACCAAAGGCGGTTGCGTAGATGCAACACCTGGGCACGAGAGATTGGGATCCTGACTTTGAGCAAATTGTTTTGCCATACAAGCCATTGAGCAAATGCTCTAGACAGCAGCACAATATGGATGGTGCTTCGATTGGGTTTGATTGTCCTCCAAGAACACATGGGCACCATGTGAGAGGGAAACTTGCTGGGCAATCAATGATGGGGATGGGGTCCATGAATGCCTATGGAATGCCTGGTGCAAATGGGTTTGTGCATGATTAGGTGGCCCAATGGAAGATCAGAACCATTTGGGTACAACATTGGTTGCTCCTTATGATTCATGCTATTGGTAGGGCATTTTTTTTGCACAATCTATTGGTTTACTTTTGGGTGGGTGTTGGTGAGGTCCAATGAGGTTTTGAGCTTGGGTGGCATCGCGAGAATGTCCTTGGCAATGTTGGGTGAATATTGGGAGCATGCTGAGCATGCCAGGTTTGGTACAACCTGACTTCATGTATGTCTATGTGTGGGCAAGAAGGTTAGGGTGAAGAGAAGGTAGCCTTGGGAATGAGTAGTGGCCACACAGCCAACTCAGACCCTCAGTGTATCTAAGGCTGGATCATTCCATGGGCTTCATAAGATTCTTTGGAAGATTTCGTCATAGATGGGGGGATATGGAGCATAGATCTGAAGAGCCATTGGGTGAGAGCAGTGGAGATGAGCACGATTGGTCCAATCGAACTTGTGGGATAGGATGTGAGCTCCCAAGTGACCCTGAGAATGAGGATGAGGCTTATTATGGGTATGGACGTCAAGAAGGCCATGCAAAACCCAATTCCAATCAGTCATCCAGGTCCAGTACTACTAAGCAAGTTTCTCAACTTTTGTTGGGCGTGGTGGGCACATTGTGTTTGAATGTGGAGGGAGAAGCCCATTTCATAAAGAATGTGGAGGGAGAAGCCCAAAAAGTGCTACCTTTGAAACAATGAGAATGCTTATGGGCAAGGAAGGGTAGAGTTGGATCCAGAGGTTTTTTTAACAAGAAAAGTTGGTTTTGTTTAGGAAACAGGAGCACAAGAACATATCTAGACTATAACCATGGAAACTCTGACTAAACATGACAAAATCTAAAAAAAACACCACAAAAGCACGTAAAAACCACACCCGCATAACGTCGAGCTCTCACTATATATATATATATATACATATATATACATATATGTATATGTATAAACTCTTTGATTAAGCCTGCCAAGGGCCATGAGGCGGTTTATAGGAACCCTTCCATCAGTAGGGGTGCTGACACACAATCCTCGAACGTCGATTCCGAGTGGCAATGAAATGCAGCTTCGCCGCTCCACATCCCACGACGGCCCACGCAGCCTGTGGCTCACCGGGACGAAAACCCCAGCCGGGCAGCTATGCGGCACGTGCGGAGACCGTCCCGTGCCAGCCATGCCTTGCCCTTGTTGCTCTTGGCCGCTGGCTCCGCCTTCCTAGCGCCACCACATGTTGCACAGCGCGTGCATTCCGCGGCAAACGTCGCGGATGAGGTGCGCAGAGACCGTTTGTGGCCGGCGCCGTTGGCCTTGGCGCCATCATTGGTCGCGGCGCCGGCGCATGCAGAGGAGAGAACTTTGGGATGGATGAAGCCAGTTTGTTCAATTCAATCATGATTCATTGGATTTGGATGACGAGGCAGCCAACAAATTGGCCACCAAACCGCTTGAAACATGTTTTTAACGTTTCGCCCACACGAAAACAGAAAACCGCGGTGGGGGGTTTGAATGTTTTGGGCCATTTCCCAGACACTCCATGGGACTGCCCTTTTTGCAGTGGGGTGGTTTTTTGGGGGGTTCAATGATTCAATGTAAGCATAATTATCTTCCATACACAATACCGGTTCCGGCGCTAGGATGATGTGCCTGGTGCGTTGGTGGCTTATGGTCACTACCTGGCGCTCCTTTTGTCTGTCGCTTGCCTTGTGTCTGAGCGCTTGCTCGTGAAGCCGGGCCTCAGTGCTGACGAGGAGACTCATGGGGGCCAAGAGGGCCGGTGTTAGGACTTGGTTTGATCTTCGGAAAACTCGTGGGACTCGCGCTGTTGTCCTACATGCATACTGCTTGAATCTGTTTGGTGTTGGGTATTGTTGGGTGGTTTTGAATTCTTAGTCCGTAGGAGGGTCTTAGGAAGATCCTCTTCATATATGTACATAGTATATTAATTAGAGGATATTAGAGGAAAGAGTTGCAGAGCTGCAGGAGCAGAAACTCGTCCAGGTGGATGCAGTCTACGGCCTAGCTGCAGTGCTCTTTTTGGGCACTGGAGTTTTGAGGGTGACCAGCTACGGGACTCTTGGATGTACTGCGCATGTTCCGCATCAGCTTCCCAGATTGTTCACATCATCGTTTTGGGAACTGTTTTGGTCCAATGGTTGTTGGGGAGCATGCAGATCCGGACCCCGCTATGACATGGCATTTAAGAACGTTTAGGAGCCTGCAGGTTTCTGTGTCGCAAGTGCGCGGTTGAACTGAGGAAGGGCTGGGACTTCTACCAGCTGCTCGGAGAAGCATTTGGTGTTCGAAGCCTGCTCCGTAGGCACCTCACCCGCTTCATCCCGGTTCATCCACTTTTGTGCGTCAAGCACGCCTAGGCACGAACCCATCTTCTGGCTGAAGATGACATTGGCTGCGGTGGCCGGTGCCAGCAGCTTCTTCGTCACGACCACCCTGGTGAAGCGATATTTGGCCAGGAAGGAGGCGGCACACTGTGGAAAAGATGGAAAAGCGAATGGGCGAGTGGTGACAGGGGAGATGAGAGAATCTGGTTGGTGAGAGATTTGGGGAGATATGATGAGGCCATTTTGTGAGAATTGTTGTCCAATCTCCTCTTTGTGCTTCTAAGTTTGTTGACCTAGAGGTGCTGGGACGACTGTGCCAACTATACTGTTGCTATACATTTAGGTTACTGTAAGTAAATTCAACTAATATCAATGAATCAAGCGAACAAGTTCCAATATCCAATACCGACTGGCCCCTTCAGGACTCCTTTGCGCCGCTCAGCGAGAAGCTGACGCAGCGCCTGACCAGCGTGACTCAATTGTTAGAGATTGTCGAAAAGTAAACACTGGAATGGTGGGAAACGTTCCTTCCAAAGGGTCCATTTTCCCATTAGAGGTTTGGCGGGAGGCAGTGGGGTTCTTGACTTGACCCCCGAAACCAAACCCAAGTATATCAAAAGCCGGCCCCTGGCACAAGGAAATGGATTTCTTGCGAGAGGTTACTAGAAGTCAACATGGAACCTGAACATGCCAACCCATCAGAAGATGATGCCCCTCTACGACTCTACAAATCTGGTGGTTTTCAGATGACCCACTTTCCCACAGCGTGCTTTTTTTGCAGCTGACCCCCGTCGCCGCGCGTTCATATTCTCACAGACACTTGCACATGCAGAGGTCGTGCCAATTCACAGGCGCAGAGGTCGCGCGAAGCAGTTCAGCTGAGGGACCTGAAATCTGCCAGAAAGGTAACTTCACCAAAGGACTGAATAGCTTTTCCTCCATGTTGTGGTGTTCCACCTGCATTGCTCATGGTGAGAAGTGCACAAGAGGATAGAATTACTGAGGTAATCAGACATGCTTTGCTACATGTTGAAACCACTGTGTACAGTACATACATTATATTGCATTATATACATGATCTTGTTCGATCCCTCAAAACAGAGATCTGTTTGGTTCGGGTTTGGAGGCCAACAGACGCCCCGCTTGGCTCAGGTGATCAACGCTCAGCTTTTGGCCGTGTTTTCCATCCCTTTAGCCGCCACCTTGATGGCCCGCGGTGTGGGATATGCCCCTCGGAGCACACGACGGAGAGAGCGTGCACAGCGGGGGAAGGAGCGAAGGGTGCTCGGGAAATGAATGGTGCTGCTTTGGACATGTTGATTCAAGCATCAACAGGCAATGAACATAACCGCCCTGGCAGGATGGTCAAGTATTTTCATCATGATGGATTTTAGAAAATAGACCATCCACAATGACTGCCACGTGCGTTAGAAAGAAGTGCTTTTACGCATCTGTTGCGGTGGCGCCTCGCCTGGCCCCAGGTGGAATGGCTGCCTTGGCAGGTGGGCGCTGCCCCACCCGTCTTGGCGCTGCTGGGCTTGGGCTACAAGTATGTGAAGGAAGCATTGGACTGGAGCGAGGAGGAAGCTTAACGGAAGCTGTCGTGCAACTGCGGAGCCGCAGTTGAGTCCAAAAGAGGAGCGCCGGTTTCTCACTGGGCAGAGAATGGGAAGGGCCACTCTGTGAAGTGCCGAGGCCTAGTGCACACATTGGATGTTTTTGGACATTAGGGGGCCTGAGGGATGTTCTAAAGAATCAACATGAATCAACCGATCAACATCGATCAACCTGCACCTTCGAACTCATTCAGTGCATCCCAATATTGTATCAACACTTCCAGCTCTCAAAGTAGCTTGATCCCTGTTGATCTAATTTGATATAATGTTGGGATGCTTTGAAGGAGTTCGATTGGTAGGTTGCAAATTGTTTGTTTATGTTATTTTGAGTTGCTGTTTTTTTCCCCCACCCCATTGAGAGGTCCATAGTTTGAAGGATGTTGCTTGGCTCCGCCACAGCAGTTCCTGAGACCTGCCCTATAAGCCTATAAGCTTCGTATGTCCTGATCTTTGAGTCATTTTTGAGTACCACGCTCCTTTCCGCACAATGCCAGAACCACATACTCTCCTCCAAGGAGTCGCCTCCTCCCACCATAGTCCGCTTCGGTCGAACCGAGGCAACGAATACCTGCAGGGCTGGGCCGCCCACGAGCGCCCGGCCCATTTGCAGGACCGACCGACCGGGTTCACCCGGTGCAACAAGAGAATTACTGTAACTGGCTGCCTAACGGATTTTTTTACCATGGTTGAAGGCCATAACATGGCTAAAGTGGGCTAAAGTTAGGACTCTTTCAGCATCCACTTTTTGTATCCTTTTCTACTGACTGCCCAATCTGAGAGTCTCACTGGTGGAGCCTGGTTTCAGCACAGTTACACAACAACACCACCAACTTGCGGGTACACTCAGCCTCCGCTTCTTCCTGTAGCTTCATTGGCGCTACCTAGCCACCATGAGCCTGTCCCTCCTGCTCAGTGCATTTGCCCGCCCTTGTGATGCCAGGGGTCACACACAACTTTCTCAAGGATCCATCCTCCATCCATCCTCCATCTTCGAAAGAAGCATGAAGAAGCCTGGCAAACGTCACGACCTCATCCACCGCCCATCCCCCGAAGCCACCAGGTTTCCATACGAACGCGTGAAGCGTGAAGCGTGCGCCCGACCGTTTCAACGGGAGGAGCTGTTCATTGGTGGCCACGCCACCCCCGAGCGGAATGAGGCCGTGATTTTGGCGCAGATTCTGGCGGACCTGGTCAATGCAGGAGCGGCTGGGGGAGCTTGGACGATTCCGGAGCAGATGGCAGATGCAGTTAGCACATGCATGTTAGCGCTTGCTGTTTGACAAGAGATCGGAGGTTGTGGGGGCATTTGATGATCTCCGACCTGATGATATCGCTTGTGGATATCCCCTTGATCTCCACCTCTTCCCAGGATATATAGGCTAGCTTAGGCACCGGGCAAAAAAACAACCTGGGAGGATATGACAGCGGCTGGGTGGGAGCTCCCGTGGTCTCGGAGGTGAACGGCACGGCGGTTCTGCACTTGGCAGGGCGATCCTGATGGATGCAGGGATGAGTTGAGTCAAAAGCCCTGTACCGGCCATGTGGGTTCCCCAACTTGCAGAACATACGATACTTCTAATGCTTACTGACTCTGCCGCCCGCTTTGACCCTTCAGTAAATATGGCCATGCTGCCACAGCGACTCATGGCCATAATTTAGTTATTTTTAATGAGTCCTGTCGAGTCAAGCATCTCATATTTCTGTGAGACCGGGGGGGGCCTTCAGGCAGTGGAGATTGGCAGGCAGTTCTCAGGAAGCCTCTCGGAACTCCAACCTGCCCGGCCGAGGTCCGGAACTTGTCGCACTTTGTCCAGTTGGCTCGCGTGCCAAATGCATCCAAATGCTTCGGGGGGAATCGGCAGAAACGAGATCCTGAGTGTCATTGAGTGGTTAAAAAGATCGAACACGTGTATATAGATCACACGAAAGTGGAAAACCACATGAAAAAACCTTGTTTGTACAGGGACATTGATGTTCCAGAAGGCATGCCATCCACTTCCATGCTTTTGATCTTATTGCCTTTGATCGGGTGTATTGCTTGCTTGGGGGAATTGTTTGGGCCATGTTGTTCACGGTGGAGGAGTAAGGCCTGCTGGCTTCACAATTTTCCTTTGCAGTTTTCCAGGAAACGAATTTCCTGCAAGGTTGACAATTCAGAAACTGCAGGGGCTTGAACGGCTCGGAATGGAAGTCGTCCACTCTCCTTTTCGAAAGTCACCTCAAGCGACTCTTTTTATTCCTTTCTTTTGTTTGTAGCAATCTGAACAGAAAGCAAATTGAGGTGTTCAGAAACAAATCTCAAAGACGGACCTGTTTGTTCCACCACCATGCTTGGGGATAAAAGGAGAGTAGCTCAGAAGAAGCCAGACAGGTTGCCTATACTGTCACCCAACACACCTGAAGGACACCCCAAAGCACTAGGCTAGGCCTCTTAGTCCTTTAGATGTACACTCCGACTCACTAACATGGGAAGTGGAGTTCACCCCCTGTTCGTCTTTCGGAAAGTCGTCTTCCTTTCGGGGCCATGCATGGCCATGCCATCCACTTCCCTGCAGAGAAGGAAGGTATCTCTTCTTTTCATGCAGAGAAAGTCCCGGTGCCTTACGCCTTCTCCGTCCGGGACCAGCCGTGACCCGTGACCAAAAAAGGTCGAAGCAGGCCGCCAGAACCACGCGCTTCCGACAGGCGGAGACGGGGGGCCATGGGCGGATTGTGGCGAAGAACGGATTTGGGGCGGTGTGATTGTTCATCTTTGTTCAGTGTTTGGTCTCCTAAATTTATAGGTATCTCATAGGTATCTCATGGTACTGTATGGGTCCCTTAAATAGTAGGATTATGTAGGTATCTCATGGTACTGCATCTCTTTATGCAGGAGGACACAAACAGTTTTTGAGTTGTTTTCTTCGCTTTTCGGTTCCCAGGCGTTTCGAGCTTCCCCTTTGAAAACGGGACAAGGAGCTTCCCCTGATGCCACTACATACTCTCCAAGAAATTCTAATGGACATTTATGGACCCTAAAGGATTTGCTTTCAATCCAAAATTCAAAACCTTTCCCAGCAAGGTGTGTGTTTGTGTGTTTTTCTTTCGATGCGTGTCATCATTGTTTCTTGGTGGTTTCAGACAAATTGTAGATGCACCGTTTCTCTTGCCCATACGTGCGTGCGTGCGTGTTTGTTTCATGTTTAAAGTGGATGATGCCGATCATGCCGATCGCTCTTGTGACTGTGGACCAAGCCAGGACCCAGCATTTGTTTTGGTGGATATTGAGTCCATGAGTGTTTCCGTTTGTTCGATCATTCCCTGCAGGAAAAAGGAGAGCTGCTTTGTGTGGTTTAGCAGAGGGAACTCGTTTTCTCAAGACCACACATGACACCAGAAACAGGATTTGGGTAAGAATGGCTGAATATGAAACCAGAAAAACCAGCATACCGGCTAAATACTGCAAACTTGAGAAACATAATGTAGAATCAGATTCACCCCATCTTGAGAAGCTGATGGTCCACCATCAGTAGACCAGAGTTGTTCGTTTGGTGAACCATCTTGACTCCTTCCGGGCGCGACGAATCACATGACGGAGTTCAAGCGGACGACCCAAGCAGTGGACGAGCGTCTTGGTGAAGCTGTTGGTGGGGTGTGACTTGACAATGCCCAAGCCAGAACTGGTAGATGCTGGAGTGACTGGAGTGTTCTGAACTATGTCGCGTGGCCGAGCTCACAGAGTTCGCATGAGTTCGCATGGAGGTCAATCTCGGCGTCCACAAACCCCAAGTATCTGATTAAGTATCTCAGGCTTCTGTGAGCCAGTTGATATTTAGACATTTTAGACTTGGCTGCCAAACACAAGGACCAGAGTATCAAGACTCAACAACTGGAGAGGTGTTTGTCCTAAGCATCAAGCTACTTTTTGTATCAGAGGGACGTGTCCTGTAGCAACGCTGTTCAAAGACGAAGATCTGCACTAACGAAGCTTGGACCTCGCCTCACACGGTATTCGCAGTCCCATGATGAACCTAAAACTTGGTCCATTCCAGGTGGTTGGTAGGACTCCCTGGCCTATGTTTGACATTGCCAGCACTGTCGCATACTCCCAATCGAAATCGAATATTTTCCGTCCAAAAGCAGAGACCGACTTTGCATAACATTGCCACATCCTGAGGATTGAAAGCTCCGTGCAGAGGCTCTTGGAGGGCGGCAACCACGACCTGCAGCAATTGGGAGAGCTCATCGGCAAGACCGGCAGCTTTGGACTTAACGAAGTGGCTTCATGGGAAGTTGGAGGTTGAGTTGGTGAGACCATCGATGGCGCCTTACAGCCTTGAATTGGTTGATTGACAGATTTACAGAGGGGGTACTCCAAGTGCACATCATTAGGTGAGACCCTCATCGTTTGGGGACAATTCCGATCCCGAATTATGTAAAATCTCAAGGACCTCACAGGAAAGTGGCGGTGAAGAAGTGGCATTGGTCAAATGTGGGCTAGTTCCCTGTTGATGCAGGCACGTGCATCATAGAACTGATGTTTTTTGAGCCGCGGCTGTTTCACCAATGGTCTCATGGCCATGTACTCCATGTCACTTGCTATCCAGACCATGGCCGCAACCCACAAGGGGCCACAGTGGAGAAGCTGAGCCGCAAAGCAGCTGAAACGGAAGCTGAGCTGCAGACGAGCCGAGACGACGGGCAGTTAGGAGATGCCAGGAATATCGAAAGAGCAAAGTTGACGCCTACCGACTGACGAAGCATTTTTGAAGTCGTTGCATAAAGAAAGTGGGCGAGGCGTCCGATTGAACCTGCAGCACGAGTTGGGACAGAAGGAGTACCTCGACCAGGGTGATGCCATGCAAATCAAACTATATGAATTAGCCATACGCCAACGCAGCGCTCCAAAAGCTGTTGAAGCGGCGTCAAAAGGGTTGAAAAGATGACATGTATATTTGGTATGAATTTAGTGTGACAGAGGGTCCTCAGAAAAAGGTTTGAGCGACCTTGAGGGCTCAACCTGAACAGTCCTTTGACCAGTCCTTTGATCAGTTTGTAGTGCTTGTACTGCTGGTGGTTGGTGAGTGGTGTGAAAACACCGAGGACCCCACGCGCCAAACCTATGGCCCACAGATGCGTGAGAAGGTCCGTGCGCTGGCCGAGCGATGGGAGACGGCTTCTGAGATGAAATGGGCCATGGCACCGGGAGACCCTGACAGAAAGTGACAGAATAGACATGAATATCTATATCTATTATATCTCTCTCTCTATATATATATATTTTTTTTTAGACGACTAAGGAGGTCAACCTACCAGTGTCGACTGGGCTCCAGTTTTTGACCCACAGCCAGACAAAAGCACATACATGTTTTAAATAGCACACTCAAATGTGTCGGCCCTGGTGAGAAATTAGGACACAAAGAGAAACAAGCAACCACGTGACACTACGTGACAATTCTCCTCAAATCTGTGGTTTGTGAGTTGTGGGTGAACTTTGGAGGGTAATACGATAGACTGAACTGGAGTTGGTTCGGGCTACGGGCCGCCGACATGGGAAGATGATTCATCTTGTAAACCATATATCTAGGGCTTTTGTATCTCCTGGTTTGGAAGAGGTTTTTCTGTTTAAGCCAGGAGGCTTGTCGGCTTGTGATTTGATCGCCACAATGGGTGTTGGTTCATTGGAGTTTGTAACAACTCATCGATGTTTGCATAGTAGTGTAATTACTATACTACTTACATCTACTTACTAATAAGGAGTTGTGATTATTGCGGGTGTTTCTGCAGATGGGCATAGGTGAGGAGAAGCAGAAGCATCCCCAAGAAGCCTGGAAAACAATGCAGCTGATTCATAGAGTTATGTCAAGTTACGTTGAACATTTTGAGGTCTTTGGAGAATCCACTGTATTTGCAGGTGTTTGTGGCTGAAACTATTTGGCAATTGACCTCCCCGTGTCACGATGCCGCAAACACTTTCGGGCACCCTAGCCCCTAGCCTCACAACAGGAAGCCATGGTGTACCCTGTAAACTAGCATGGACAGCTCACTGCCTTCTTGCAGAAAGTGACTTCCACAAGTCCATCATGTCATGTCTATTAATTAAGTCATTTTTGGGGGGCGTCAAAGGATCACATTGTCTTCAATCGTTGCTGCTCATGCTCCCGTCCCAGGAAAGTAATGGTGGAGATTCGAGGATTCACAGCAAAGAGTCTCAACATATCTCAAAACCACCCCCCAAAATTGCAACGTGTTAAAATTCCGCAAATTTTGCCGGCCTTTTCTCCCGTTTCTGAGGTCGGTGGCCTCGCCCGAGACATCCTAGCGCAGCGAGGAGGGCAGGTGACAGTGCCCATGGAGGATGCACCAGCACCGCCGCGTGCGCCGCCTAGCTCCAGTGCAGTGTTGTGGCAGCCGCCTCAGGCAGGGTCTCCAAAATGTTTCGTGTCTGTCTTATATAGTATATATATAGTGGAATTATAGTATAGACTACACTGTGCTAAGTTATATACTGTGAATTTATCATAGCAGGGGGGTCCAACTCGGGGTCTACTTCTTCCAGCCAGGCATATACTGCGGGAAGATGCACGTCGGACAGAGAAACCATGGTGTGTACTGTAGGGCATTTGACTGGAGGGGTTTGTGGGTTCCAGTGTTGGGGGCAGCCTTTGGGCGGCCCCTGAGGGCACCAGGAGAAGAACCTGTGGTTCCAGTTTCGTGCATTTGGTTTTGGAAAGATCGAAGCAAGATGCTGCTGAATCCAACATTCTGGTGGTAGCTCCAAGAGCAAAGGCTACGCGGTGGCTACTTAGTCACTAGTCCACACCTTCCTGTGCTTCAATCTGCTTCGGGTCTCCTGAACTGATCCTTCGAACTCCTCAAATGCTTGGAGTAATGCTTCCTTGGCACCATGCAGAGTGTTCAATGTTCAACCCTTTCGTCCTCCTTCCCAGGGCTCAAGTCCAGCCGAACGTGCACCAACACCGAGTGCACCGAGCGCGCCGAGCGCGCCGCCTACCGGGCTCAGGCACGGTCCCCAACATCCTCAAATGTTCAGATCTTTGATACATTTTTGTTAGGGAGATTCACTTCTCCAGTTTTTGTATGTCTGGGTTAGAGAGTCTGAGTGGTTATTGATGGTTCATGTTTGCCTACGGGTTGAAAACCGAACCAGCGTTTTGCGCATGTTTCATGAATTTGGTATCTGGGGTGGGGCTGGGCCCGGCTAATTATGACGTTTGTGTCAACTTGTAGATGCACTTGATGCTGCCTTACGCATGGGGAGGGGTGGGGTTGGGGGGCAGTAAGAACATATTCTACAGTAATTCCATTAACTTCGTGAAAGACCAGGGACATTCATGAACCTCAAGAACCTCAGTACAATGGCTGCTGACCAGTTTGCGCGGGAGAACTAGGGAAGAAAAAGAGGGCGCGCCCCTGGGGTTTTGATCCTTTTGAACGTTTGCAGACCGTTTTTGCGCGTAAAGAGTTTGAGAAGGATTGGCATGATCGGATGTTCAGTCATGCTGTGTCCTGTGTGAGAGAAAAATGCAAAACACGATGTTCAGAAAAGAGGTTCCTTCAAACATGGGTTCAATCAACAACGCCGGGATGTTTGACGCTTCACTCGCCACAACGCGGCGCCCTCGCTTCGCCCAGTGCCAGCGAGCGCCGCGAGCGTGCAGCGGCCGCCGCTGAGCGCCGGACGC